GTTTGGAGAACAGCAGTGCTTCCTTAGGGCTTCTGCAGTTTCTTGTCTGTAGCTGTAAGGCCTTACACATGTTAAGAGGGATTGGAGCAGATTAGGGCAGTGTTCCCTGGATGCGCACTAGCTGGCAGCAAGTCTTTGTGCACTACTTGTCACATATTAGCAAACAGAATTAACGCCCTGATTCTCACTCCCTGAGAGTTTAGTGACCCTGCCAGTATTGTTTTCTACTGAGTTAGCTTTCTCAGTGTTTCTAGTGATTGTTGTTTGTTTAATGTTACATATCCATGGCAAAATGCTAGTTCTGGCATTGTGCTAAGTGACACTAACTACCCCTAGACGTACAGAAGAGCTACAAAAGTTATCACTCTCCTGTATTTTTATGTATTTGATCAGGGATTTGCTTATGCATTAAGTAGAATTTTCCAGTTGCTTAATGTTTTGGGTTCCTGCTGCTTCTGATCCTGAGTACTGGAAGTCTATTCATCATCCCTGTAAGCTGTTTAGTTTTTTGCATACTTATGTTTGATTATTACTATTCTGATATTCATTTCTCAAAATAGTCAATGAGAAACTGCATTCCCGTGGTAACTGAACAAAACCTGACAGAACACATGGCTTTCTAAAAATGTTTTCCTCTTTTTAGCAGTTTTTAAATATAAGAAGTTGTATGGTTGTGATAGAGTTGAAAGTTTTTGAGTGTAAAAATAACAGTAGAATGGGTTTGTGGCTTTGTAATGTTGAACAGCTACAGTAGTTTAAATGCACCTGGTATACAATTTCCTTCACGTCCGTTTCCTTTTTAAAAGATGCACATTGTGGATCATCATATTAAATATCAAAAATGTAATGTCAGTGTCTTGATACACTTGTACAATCCTATACAGTTTTAGTGTAGAAAGTCTGAATGGAAATACAGAAAGCAGAACAGTAATATGTGGCTCGTATATGAGCAACATTTAATATGCTGCTGAGATGTACTGGGAAAGTGCACATCTTACCAGGCCACCTTGGACTTCTTGAGCCACAAATAATTAGAAAATACTGAAACTAATTTTGAGGGCCTCACATGGTCATTTTATGTCTCTGTTCACCAATGGAGCTGTAGTCTATGTAAGTGTGTACATTAAAAATATTTGTATTTAATTGTTTTTTAATCAGATAATTAAAAACACATTCTAAAATGTGTGGTTTTATATAATCACAGTTGTTACATTTGATACTGTATTGCAGGTACAGAAGATCTATTTAATGCAGCCTTGTTAAGTGAGATGTGCATAGATAAAAAATGGGTAATACATGTGTAGGTCTCAGAGAATTGTTTGCAGCTTTACAAATCCAAAGCTCTTTCTGTGTGCGATATAGTGGTTAGAAATAGAATAAATAGTGGTTTTTAGCATTTCACAAAGTTCTGGTTTGGTATCTGGGAGTTTAATGCATATACATTGGTCCCTATCTACTGTTTTAATTGTCATTTTTTGTTTATTGTAGCACAGATGAGTAATTTAAACAGTTTTAGAAAAATGTTAAGAATGGAATTGATGAGCTGTTGTCATTAAACTGTGCTTCTGCAGTCATTAAAATAAACCATTGTTGTCATCTATCTGATTAAACTTTTTAGAGTATGAAGGTAAATATTAATCCAGAAGGGCTGGCTGTTCTGCTCTGACGTGTGACAAGGCTGTTTTTCCTGTTTTATTTTCAAAATTATTCCTGCAAAGGAAGAAGAAAAGAGATGCATTAAAAGGGGGGAGGAGGGTGGCCAAGGAGACTTCAAAATGATTTCTTCACAAAATTTCTATGTAAGTTATAGACAAAACACTATCAAATCATTTTACAGAAAAAGAACTACTAAATGCCAGTGCTTTATTTTAGTTACAGTTCTTGAAGTTGAGAATGCGATTATTTTAAAAAAAAAAAAACTTTGTTCCTTTCTTCTCTATTGTCCTTCTGCCCTTTCCCAAGCAAAACCTTTACTTTTTCTCTGGAGTCATAAAGCAAGGGAAGTAAGCCTGAAGAGAAATACAGAGAGGAACTGTGAAGTGCATTATTTTTTTCAATTCTGTAAGTGTTCAGCTAACCTGAGGTGTTGAATGATTTAGTTCTAGTTGGCAGTTCATCCTCCTGAATCTTACTAATATTTCTGTCATCTACTAAGAGCCGTGTCAGAGAAGGCTGCTGTGTAGCAGGTGATAATGCTTATATGCCTTAGTGTTGCTGTTAAACACAAAGATGTAGCTCACCTTCGTAAGCTGCAGACACGGGGAATTATAGGTACAGCTGGGAAGTTTGGTGCAGATGTCATTTTACATCTCTACTTCATCAAATTAAGAATTAATTTTCTTTTCTTGCTAGTTGTCCTAGTGAAATCTTAATAAATGGCAATGATTTATTCTGTAGGGAGTTGGACAGTTTTAAGGTATTTTTATTTCTGAAGATTGCAACTCTAACCTCCAGAATAGAAGTGCATCTCCAAAGACTGTGCAGCTGAATTTATTCCAGGTAAGCTAACCAGCTCACATGTTTGAATGAATGATGTTCTCACAAGGTGCAGTTAGATGATGATGGTTTTGTCCCAGTGGTGACCAGACAGGCTAAAAAGTTGTTTTCTTAGTGTCAGCCAGTTCTAAATCATGTGGCTGGGGAGGAATTATTTCCCATGATTGCAATACAACTCGCAAATTATATGTCTTCTTATGAGTCCATCTTTGTAGCATTTTCCCATTTCATCAGAATGAAAGCAATTACAGGACCCTGCGAGACAGAAGTGTAGTTGCTTAGAATTAACGGGTCCATCATTTGCTTGTGCTGCCTGTCTTTTCCCTTTGAAAGGTCTAAAAATGATACTGAGGTTGGATGACTGAGTCTTACGCTCTTTTTTTTGTGGGACTTGCTGTGAATCATAGCGTGATGAGGAATCTCCTCTTCTCTAGTGCCACTTGCCAGAGATTTTGCATTTTAGGTCACTGGAAATGGGCAGGTTTATTGCAGTACCTTGTTGCAAAGTGAATATTTTGAACAGCAAAACAGTTCCAGAAACACCTCTCATAGCCAGGAATCAAAGGAACTTGTTTCTCTCCCATCAGCATCATTTCATTGGTTCAGTCTAACAACTCTTGAGTCAAGTCTTCAATGGGTAGCTATTGACTGACTTTCAATTTGGAAGCTTGTAACTACTTGACTAAGCTGGTGTTACCTGAAGTAAAGAGCATCGTTTTTATCCGTCGCAGTGTTTCTGCATTGGTGTACACAGGGTTTGTTGATGCTGCGAAAAACCATGTCTTGGAGAGAGAGTTGGGATATAGTTTGAGCCTTACTGCAAAGAGCTCAAATGACTGAGTACTGGCCTCATTAAATGCAAAGATAGCTTTAGTTAGAATAAAATCCAGGTGTCAGCTGGTTTCTTGCTGCAGAAAGCTTTTCAGTTGTTGCTATTTCAGTTGTTGCCGTGTCTTTGTACAGGAGGTTACAAGATCCTTGTGGAGTCAGACAGCAGGATTCTCCAGGTTGAATGGACTGTTACATGTCTCTTTGGGATAGCAACGGGTCATGGATTACCTTTTCTGGGGGGGGAAGGAAAATCTGTTTGGAAGCAGTTCTTGTTAAACAGACACACAGGAAGCTGAAGAGCTCAGTTGCTTAGTTGGTATGTTTTCCTAGGTTTTAATCAGAAGATAAGGCAAGGATCTCTTCTTGGTTTTGGCACCTGGGGATTTGCTCTAAAGGCTGTAAGATTGAACTGGTGATGCTGCATAGATTCCACACTCAGTGACTGTTAAGTTATTCCAGAATAAGTAAATTTGGACTACAGCATAGATTTCAGAGCCAGTGTAGTCTGCCCCCATATTGCTTCTGGTAAACTACTGTAAACAATAATGTTAATAATAAAGTTGCATCATTTGGTTTACAGTAAAGCAGGAAGAAAGCAAAAAAAAGGTTTGTCTAAATCACATTCTTTATAGAAAAGGGGAGCCATTTTGATAAGATCACTTTTCTTCATGGAGAATTATTTAAAAGCTTTTAAAATTGAAAGTCACGGTTCCTTAAATCCAAAATGGCATTGTGAATCTCTGGCTTGGTCTGAATTTTTCTACATGTAGTCTAAAAATAAATCATGAAAACTTTTTTCCTGCCCATCCCTGCAGTACCAGAGCCCTGAAAAATCACTCACCATTCCTTTTGTCTCTATATGTTATTGTGGTCTGCATCAGTTGCAATACAACTACAAGTGATTGCAGTAGTTAATGTAAGAGTAATGGGCTTATATTAGGTGTTGGTTGGTTTTTTTTTCTCTTTTTTTTCTTATTTTATTTTTTAATTAAACATATTCTGAGCCTTTGAAACTGCACTAAATTTTGAGGACTTGTAGGAAAAAGATGCTTAGGGAGCAGTGCTGAGTGCATGCAGTTATTCAGCTGAGGTCAGCCTGACAGAGAAGAGGACTTCAGTTGTTCAATACTCATGAAAAATGAGGCAGGCGGTCTTGTAATTATGTTCATATTAGCTTCAAAAGGGCTTTCTGACCTGAAATGAATGCCAGTGTTACTTCTCAGTGTTTCTCAAAACCAATTATGTAAGTTGGTCTTAGGGATGTATATGCTTTATCATAATTATGTTTTCATGATTTTCTTGACATGAGGCTTCTTTACAGCATTTTTACATTATTACCTTTTATTACATTATGTACGTGTTTTTCTCCCTCTGGAAGAAAGTTTCTGTGAAAAGGAAATAGGAACCAAACTTGGAAATCTAAAATAAAGACTAAACTGCTTTTCATTTACTTTTCTGCCCTTTGAGATGCCAGAAGCAATTTCCTCTTGAAGCTGACTTCCTTTCTGGAAATGATTTTCGTCTCCAACCGTGTTGAGGCTCTTTTTCTCATTCTTTCATTCTGACTAACTTGCTTTTTTCCTCTGACTTGCTACTGCATTTGAGTGCTACTTCTAGAGGTAAGTAATAACATGCGTACAAGTTTCTCTAACTTTCTTTTTCAGTTCTTCACTTCCCACCCCCCCACCCGCTGCCCCTCCTTCTTACTCAGTCGGTCTAGAAGGACAAACAAAGCACTATTGGTGTCCTCTGCGAGAGAGCCCTGATAGGGGGCTGGCTGTAAATTGACGTGGCATGGAAAATCTCTGCTAGCTTGTAGCAGCTCTAACGTTGCTGCAAAAATCAAGCCTACTCCAACTAAGTTTACGGCTTAAAATCATTATGGATTTGCTGTTTATATATAAAAAATGAATGGGAAGTACCTCCTCTTTTTGTTTTGGGAGACAGACTTTTTCTGTATTTGGATTTACAGCTAATAGAAAACAAAATCAAAGGGAATCACTTGGTTACTGATTTTTGGTGGTTTTTTTGTTTTGTTTTTTAGTGAGAGCAGCAGATCTTGTTGCTCCCCCCCCTCCCTCTCCTGAGATTTAATCACTTGCAGATCTTACCATGGGGTGCGGACTGAGAAAGCTGGAAGACCCAGATGATAGCAGCCCTGGAAAAATTTTTTCTACATTGAAGAGACCACACGTTGAAACAAAGACTGATTCTGCTTATGAATACGTGTTGCTGGATTTTACTTTAGAAGGTAATTTTACAACTTTGCTATTCTGAACAAGTAGGGAATAGAATTTAACTTTGTTCGGTTGTGTCTGAGTTGTAGTAAGTCTGTTATTTTAATCAAAGCCAGCCAAAATGTAAGACTTTTATTTTGAAACACAAATCGTGACGAAGGTCTTCACTTAGATAAAATTACAATGGAAACTACCAAAGTATTTTTAACAACCACAAACCGTCTGAGTTACACAACTGTCCTTGTTGGGAAGCTGGCTAAAAACTGCTAGAGATTTTCCTACTTTCCTGTGAGTCAGACACTGCCATCCTTACTCATTTTGAGTAATGGTTGTCTGAATGTAGTGCAACTGTTCAGAAAATATGCTGTGCCTCAGAAAGGGGAACAGGATTCCTTAACTGAGGAAACGTTGTCTTAAAATGCATTTGAATTTGGAAAATAGGCTGTCGTTGTCCTTGTTACATTGCGCACGAGTAAGCCTTAGTCCTTAGTCCTTAGTTTATACTGGGAATACTTTCCTCTGAAGTACATCCCAGGCCTTTGGTAGATCTTTTAGTAAGAGTATTATAGTTTTGCTTGGGCTTTTTTCTGCAAATGCTTCATTTCTAGTTGCTGAATAGGCTTTTGAAATTGTGACCAAAATGAAACAAAATTTGTATGCATAGCTGGAGGCAGACCGTACTCTGTGGGATACTTCCTTCCCGAGGGTGTCCTGTCTCTAACAGAGCAACTCCCTGTTTCCAGAAAGTTGAAAACATAAACAAGCCCAGATGGCTGCCCTCTGAGAGCAGGCAGCCCAGTTTTGCAGCCACTTTTTTGTTAATTTGCATTTTATAGCCATCCGATCTACTGGAAATTCTTAATATTAAGTAGTTAAAGTAAATGTTCTAGATAGAGGGATTTGATAAAGGGAGGAAGCATAAGCACATGCCTTGTTACATGTTCAGGAAGTTTTTCACAAACAAAATCTCTGCTTAGTTTTCTTCCCAAATTAAAGGATCGTAGTAATGTTTTAATTAAAATTTATCAATGTGTTCACAGAAGAACTACAAGAACTAACTGAAGCCATGTTTCTACTAAGTTGTAATACTTGACTGTATTTATTTCTCTGTTTATTTACTCATAGACAGATGAAGTTCTCATTCGTTTATTCTTTTGGGATAAACAAAGCTTTGGGTAGATAGGTAGTAATAGGTAACTTCCTGGAAATGAAGATGGACTTGAATTAATACATCAATTGCCTACTGATAATAGAAAGGACAATAGAGTTCAGGTTTTTTAGGCTTAAGTGAATTTTATATTTTTCAGTAGTTTGTGTCCTGGATAGCTTAGCTGCATTTTAAGGTAACAAGCTTTTGAAAGTGCTGTGTAAAGGATCTGTTTTAAAGAAGATCGAGGCTTTAAGGAGGAATGGCACTGAGAAGTGCAAATAAAGGTTTCTCTTCAAAGTATTTTAGCAGCCTTTACAGTAGCGAAGACTCACTTTCTCTTTTTTAGTCTGATATTCAGAAGTGCTTAGCTTCAGTAACTTACTGTGGTGTTAAGATTAGATGGTTGCCTGGTTGTAGGTACTAACTGCAAGCAGTTAGATTTGTGAATGCACATATGGCTCTGTTGAATGGTTTTAGCTATACGCACGTATGTAACATTGAGGGTCTTTGTTTTGAGGCCTCTCAACAGCTAAAATCGTGAAAACAGGTAAAAATGGTATATAGAGTCTTTCTTGGAGGCACTTCTGAATGTTGCTTGCTTATAAAACATGAGGATTGGCTGAAGCACTGTAGAAAATAAGCTGAACTACTCTTTCCTTTTGACCCATTCAACTCATTTGCAGACTTGTTGCTATTCCAGTACCCTTGGGCTAAATGCAACTTAAAGAGGGAGCTTTTTATCACTGCAGACCAAACTTAGTTCTCAGTAGGCTGTCAAGTTGTGCGTTATATCTTTGTGATGCTCTGGTGATTTCCAGAGCAAGGTCTTCCCCTTATGTGACATGTTACATTGGATCTGGAACCAAGTTTAAAAAAAAAAAAAAAAAAAAAAGCTTAACTGAACTGAATGTCCTTCCTTGTTAAGATTACAGTGAGCAATAGCCTGCATTAATATGAAAGTACTCCAAGCATAAACTCGTATTTCAGCTTTATGTTCCTTATTCTCTGCTTCATCGGATTTGAGATGCATGAAGTTGGAATAGGCCTACTTGAGAGACTGGCAGGAGTCCCTGATCTTCTCACAAGCCATGATGTAGATTAGATCTACCATACTGCAGTCTAAATATTCTGGGTGACATTCCTGAGCATCTTTATTGTCTCCTGTACTTTCTTGTTCCCTCCAGTATTCCCGTATCCTGTCCTGACTGCATGAATCAGCTCTAAGTTCCCTGGAGGTACCCCTGCACCAGGGGAATCCCTAGCAAGAAACATTACAGCCAGTCTTTCATTTTGCTGGGGAGCAGTGAACTCCAAAGTGTAATTTGAAATGCCTGTCAGGGACTGCAAATTCCACAGTTTCAATCATGAGGCATATCTCAGATACAAAAGCATCTGGAGGTCAGTTTATGCATGATGTAGGGCTAAGCTAAATATTCCTTTTCAAGCAGAATGCTTAAGGCTTTTCCAGAGCCCTCCTAATAGGGTGAAGAAGGAATATTGATGCAAGGGTATTTCATGTTGGTGCATGACAGTGACATGCTTTAAGTTGTTGTCACTCTGAGCAACGGAGTGTATGAATATGTATGGAGTAGCTGTTCTGTCATCATCTTCAATATGTGCATCTAAAGCTTATTGTACAATTAGCAAGTTAGCTGTAGTTGTTATTTGTACAGGTATTTTGGTTATGTATTGGGAAGTAAATGATCTTTAATGGTTAAAGCAATTGAAAAATCTCTGAAATGATGATAATGTTGCACTCATAACTGCTTTTTTTCTGCATTTCCATTGCTATAGAATAGTTAGTTCTTCAGTACTTCAATACTGTGGCAAAATACACGAGCTATTGACAGTGCAGGATGTTTCTTTTCTTTGTGCAAAAGCTGAGGACCAGACTGTATAAAAGCTTTTTCCAACTCCTATGTGCTGTTAACCTACTAATCAGAAATGCTTGCATACCCTCCGAGGGATCCTGCTTGGCAACTAGTGACAGCACATTGCTTATTGTGACATAGATTTAAGTCTACTTGAAAACTGTAACTGGGACTCTGTCTGTGTTAAAATGTCAACCTGCAATCCACAGATCACTTCTAAGAGATTAAAAAAAAAAATGTATTTGAAGAGGAGAAACCAATTATTCTAGGCTTAAATTAGTTCTGTTGAAATGTACCTCTCTAACAGGATTCAGAGAGTTCTGCTGCAGTATGCTTAAGGCTTTGGCTAGACAAAATAGTTGCTTTAGTGTTCAGACCTGTTGCATATTTTGGTGTTGACGCAGCTTTTAAATTATCTTGACAAAGCTATATCCAGTGAAGTATTGCTAAATAGATCATATTAATTTGTAAATACGTATATTTCACCTAGTTGTGTACTTAGTAATCAGCCATGAATCTGTTTTTTCCTGTACAACATATCTTTTTAGTAAGCACCCTGGGATTGGTTTTGTGTGTTTTAAATAATAGAAACTCACTTAGGAGTACATATGTCCATAGTATAACGTGCTTGTCTTCTGTCCTTTCAATGATTTTAGCTTCCTCTAATCCAGAAGTTATCAAGATCAGTTCTGTGTTGGATATAGCATCTAAGGTAGAAGAATATTACAACAAAGGATATGTTGTGGGAGCTGTTCATCCTATTCTGCTGCCAATTGGACATAGAAGAAATTTCCCTGCAAGTCACATGTATCGGGTGGTACTTTCACGATTAAAATTAAGGTAACAATGAAATAATTTTATTATTCTGCCCCAATGCTTGTAAGAGGGTTGCTCAGCACACATGGTTTTAAGTACCTCAAAGAACCAAGTAACCACTCCCTATCTGGAAAGGTGACCAACTCAATCATATTTTTTTAATTAACCCTAAGTGTATGATAGGTGAATGTTTACTTCAGTTAACTTTAAAAGAAATCTAAATTTGCTTATCATAATTATAACAGAGTTTTAAAATGAATTTGTGGAAAGAGAGACGGTTAAAATTTACCCCTTTTATTTTTTGTACATTCTTATAATAAAGAATCACTTCTTAGAGCCTGCAACAAGCACAAGATTAAACAAAAAGCCAGGAGACCAATAACCTGCTTCAATTCCCTCACATCTGTCTTGTCTTCTTTGTATTTTAAATTTGTCTTTTCGCTTGTTCTGTAAGATCATTACTTATCTATAGGTAAAATACAGTTCCTCAAAGAGAAGTAGGTGATCCTTCTTACTAAGAAGGAGAAGCTCTGTGACCAGGTTGCTCAGGAAGGGGCCCTGGGCAACCTGTTCAAGTACCAGGAGTTTGGTGGCCCTGCCTGTGGCAGGGGGTTGGAACCTGATGATCCCTGGGGTCCCCTCCAAGCCAAGCTGTTCTGTGATTATATGATTCTATGAGTGGGGAGGCCATATAAAACTTGTTTGCTGCAGCAAGAGCAATTCAAGATTTTGTTTTCATTCCAGGTACATAATCTTATATATTACTCATGTTTTCACTGAATTATGATCACCACGTGATCATTAAGAAAATATATAAAGAAATGTTCCTTTAATTGCAAGGAAAACAACCTTCTGTTCTTAATTTCAGTAGCTAGAAGGTCGATTTTGTTTTTGCATTAAAAGGTGTCACGCTTCCCCTTCTATCTGTTCTAGTACGATGCACAAAGGTTCTTCCAGCTGCTTCTGAAAGTCTGCAGAAATGTGACTCTTGGAGTTACACAAAACATGCCTCATTTGAGGGACCTTTCTTTGGTCAAATGCTTTGTTTAAGCAAGCATTACCCATAGCTGATACAACTTAACTTCATAAATTCACCTACAAACAAGGTGAATGTTGTCTGTGTGGACAAATGCTTGAAGGAAAAAATTTGCTTTGTGGAGCTGAGGATTCCAAGAGCTGAGGCTGCCTATGCTCAGCTCCCTCAGCACATCTTAGCCCTGTTGATCCTTATGAAGCTGTCATTTGAACTGGTAGGTCCTTGGAACAGGTGAGGGGCAAGAACCTGCAATCTCCTCTAAACTGTTAGGTGTAAGTTCTCAGCCTCCTATGCTGATGCCATATGTACCTCTGCTGGATTTCTTGAATGCAGATGCACCTTGTCCAGCCACTAATTGGAAGGAAACCTTTGATACTTGAAAAATCTCACTGATGCTTCATTCTAAGGCAGGGGCTTGTATAATGGGATCATCAGCTAAGATGATCTCATTATATGGATGATATACACCAAATGTTGTATGATTAACAGTGTTACTGACTTAAGATAAAAAATGATTAATACTACTCTGTAATGGATGCTTTTAGAATTCTGAAACCTAGGAGTAAAATTAACATTGTGTAACCCAAAGTACTTGTGACTACGCTGTATTTCTAACATGTGCCTGTGCTGCTATTTCATACTCTAGCTGCTTTGATTGCTAAAATTAATCAACAGCATATTAATAGTGTAAAAGTACCATTTCAAAGCTGAGTTTCGGAAGATGTCTATAAATGATCTTCAAATGAAATTTCTATATAAAATATTTTTTATCCTGATGTTAAAGTACAAAATGGCAACTTACTGTGTGTAAGAAGTAGAACAGAACATCAAAAAATACAGAGTTTTAAGTATGAAAAAGCATTTCCATTATTTATTTTTTAACTTTTATAGCAGAAGAAAAGAATTCTGTATTTGCCCAAGTTAGCAGCGAACTACTGACAAAGCCTGCTTTCTTTCTGTGTTCTAGCCAGAAGCATGCAGCACCCAGAGGACAAAGGAACCCCAGGCTAGTGATTGAGGAATGTCCTTTAACATATGAAACACTGACAAACGAGGTAGTGAAAGAACTGTTAGAAAAGGTAATGGAATTTTGTGGGTTCTTGTTTGTTATATTTTGTGGTGGTGAGTTGTGCTTTTTGGTGTTTGGGTTTTTTTTTTTTTTCAAACTTAGATTTTTTTTTTCTAGGTTGCATGTAAATAGTTGAGGATTAGCAAATGATAAATTTGTTTGTGTTTATTTAACTCGGAGCTTTAGCTTTTGGTTTTACTTTTTAGAAGCTACTGAGTGTTTCCTTTATGCAGAGAGATCATTTTCTTCACTAATTTTCTAACTTAGAATTTATTACTTAGACCTGGAAAGCTTTGGGAGAATAGCTGCTGAGAGCACTGCAAGCAGAACTGCAGAATCAGGCCCAAACTTTCGGTCAGTTGTGGTAAACTGCTTGCTTCATAGCTTTTCCTAGAGTTAGGTGGTGGTTTGTTTTTTTTTAATCTGAAGTTTGATCGTATTCTGTGTAAAGTTCATTAGGAAAACCTCCAGTTAATTTATTGATTTTTTTTTTTCCAAGTATGTCTTTCTTCAAACAAAATTTAATAGATACAGTAATTATATTACAATGTTTACTTGGCAGAGCTTCTGAAAGTGTTGTAAATTACAGAAAACTGAACTTCCACTGAAGTGAAACTCTAGTTCCACTTATTTTTGTTTCACTTCCTCTGCAAAATTGAAGACTTGCTTAAACAGGAAATTGTCGTTATTGTAAGAGTTATCTTTTCATCAGTTGTCAGAGGAGGAAGCAGAGTAAAAATATTGGAAATACTTTAATGATCACTGAAATTAGCAGAGTTCTTTAAAGTTTCTAAATGGCTTTTTTTGAAATTTTCAGGAGTTAAAAATTGTGATTTGTTTCATCATGCAGTTATACAGTATGCATATTGCCACGTGTAGTGGGAAAAAATGCTTAAAATTAAGTAGTGATTCAGTCTTGCAAGGAGATGTAGAAGAAAAGAGCTACCTAAAAATTATTTTTAGATGTTCCTGGTGTTTTTAAAAGGTTGAGGGAGGAATCCATTGTAAAGTTACATACTCATTTTTCAAGGTCTCCAAAAACAAGAAAAAATAAGTATTTTCATAATGATTGCAGGTACATGTCAAGATCACTGCTGTGCATACGTAATGGTGATAAACTGTAATACTTCAGACTGTTGTGATACCTAAATGATCTTGTAGTACCTCCAGTTGTCAGAGAATTAATCACTCTGAATAAAATAGTTTCCACAGTTACCTAGGTAAAGATCTTTCCCTCTCTGCCCTCACTGAGTGCTTCACAAATGATTTCTTCTTTTTGGAGCTGGGGTTTCCCTGTGTTTTTGTCAAGTCTTTATTGCAGTAAGAGGAAATGCTCTTTATCCCAGCAAAAGAAAAGAAAAACCCTGCTTCCAAGAACAGATACTTCCTACTGATTGCACATATTGTGCAGTTGTCTTTGGAGACCCCAGGAGAGGGAAAAACACCCCTGGCTAAAAGCAGAATGAAGAGTTAGTAATCTTAGAGTGACTGGCTTCACACGAGTTCAGAAGTACCATACTGTTTATTGCACCAGCATGCTGTCTGTCACTGGGATGCAGAGATGGGAAAAAAAATCTTTGTGCTTATTGAAGGATTTTGCGTACACTGAAGTCAGTAGCAGTGTTGGCCATCCTTCTTGGCCTGAGCCCAAATACATGCTGGAAGGCTTCTATTTGCTTGAAAGACACAGACAACATACATAGACAAGCTACCCTTCTGTAGTGCAATATTGTCTGCCCACGTCTCCTTGAAAATCCTTGAAAATCAATTTACTAAGTAAAATGTGTATTATAATAATGTATATATTGTTTTTTAATGTGTGGCATAGTGTCTTAAAACAGCTTTACAGGTAAATTTTGGTTTTAAATGCAGGTTAATGAAGCAGCTAAAAGAGGAAGGAAGTTTGTGGGATTTGTAACACAACATTTTCCTCAAATTAAAGCCTGTAATGGAGCAAGCACAGATGGGAATGCAGAGCTGGAATCGACACTGAGCAGAAGAAATAGGGAACACAGAAGAAAAAGTTCTGATGATGACTATAAAAACTGGAATGAACGGTCACTGTGTGATAACCTATCTGAGAGTGGGAATGAAGAGGAAGTGCAAGCAGATAGCGGACTGTTACAGGATGCAGACTTCCAGTTTGGAAAAGAAGCCAGCCCTATTAAACCACGAAAAGGAAATGGTAATGAATGCTTTTTTTTGTGGCAGAAATAAGATAGGTGGTTGTTTTAAAACAGAGTAGAATAAAACAGCATATTCTGTCATCAAATACTGGTTTTGGAAGGTACATCTTTCTTAAATGCATCCATACTTTTAGAAAGTAATTACTTCCTGTTTTATGTATCTGAACTGTGGTAATGTTTAGATTTTTTTTTTTAAAAAGGCCCTGGTTCTAAGTGTAGTGCAAACAGGTAACTTTTTTGCTTGATTTATGTGTAGCAAACGTGGTAGGAAAAACGTGATGCAGATGTTTTTAAAGCTATTTCCAAATATGATAGCTTTCACCTTGTCTTAATATTGACTCTAAACTTGTAATAAGCATCTAAAAATACACTATAATGGTCCCAGTCTTCCTGTCTGTTTTAAAATGACAATGAGGGGATCCCCGTTCATTCAGAGCTGTTATTTTATGTGCTTCTAGCCAGCTCGCATAATGTATGGCAAGCAAATCCATTCGTAATGGATTCTTTCTAGTTAACATGCCTTCAAGAAGTATCCTGAAAGAGATTACTTCAACTAATGCGCTGACCGTGAAATCAAAGAGGATAATTGTTACAGAATGAATTTACACTAGAGAAAATGAAGCATTGAAAAGTTGCTTAGGAAAAGTATCATTGAAAAATGTTGTTGCTGTGGTAGAAGATTTAGCTGTACAAGAATCTGTAAGGTAGGTAGTGTAGAAGATGCTGCCTGAAACTGTGACTTCTGATGCTGAAGCACTAAGCCCTGCTCATTTGCTAGGAGGAAAATGTGGAAAGGAAGAAGGAATCTAACTCATCAGAAGTAATGTATTATAGTAGTGTATTGAAAGCATGAAACATGAAACTTGCACATAAGAATACATTGTGATAATAGGGTCACCTGTGATGTGCCAGATGTTTAATTGCTCTCTAGAGCAATCTTTTCACCTGCTTGTGAAAGAGTTAAGCGCTCTCTCTAGCTGGTGGACTGGATAATGACTAAGCACTGAGATAATCAATGTCACTCTTATTTTTAACACTTCGGTTAAAGCAGTTCTTGTACAACATGCTGAGCCTTTATAGCATGATCCATTAAAGCTTAACTCTTTCCTTACAGCTTGAGATAGTGAGTTTGCTGTCTGTAACAGAATGGAATCTCCCTCTATTTCTTGAGCTTAGAGAGACTGAATCTTAACTGGGATCGTCTGAGTTCCTCTGCTTTGGTGCTGTGAACGCTTCTGCTTTCTAGAGGATTGCATTGATTTAAGCTGCTTAGAAGTTGCAGTAGCAAACATAACATGAGGGGTTTGGTTTTTTTTTTTTTTTTTAAAACAAACACCAGGACAGTGACAATGACATGAGTCTATCTTGTTTTTCCTTCTGGAATATGTTCAGTTAGCTAAGATTTTGTAACTCAGCACCAGCGATTACTTAAACAGTATGACTTCTTGAATTTTTATTTTGGATGAGCATTTGACCTTTTTGTTACAGCACTATCTTAATATGTAGGTATTTAGCACATTTGAGAATATGCAGGTTTTGTTTGTTCTGCATGCACTCAAGCTCTCATGAGTTTCTGTGTGGAAAACCCCAGCAGGCAACTGATTATACTGGTATTTAAGTCATCTTCAGAAAAGAATGGTAAAAATGAATACGAGGTATTTGTAATATTTAAGAACTTAGAACGTGTTTTTTAATCTTTCTTTGCAGTCATTTCAATTACTTTTAGCCTTAAGTTCCATGACTGGCAAAAGTGAAGTGTATTTCCAGTGGGTTTTCACTTGAATCTATGTTTTCCTTTTTGCAAGATATGGCTATGTAAAAGGTTTGGAGAGAACCCAACTGCAGTATGTTCCAGTTTGTATAGTACCCCACAACTTACCCTCCTAACGCCTCTTTTTTTTTTTTCCTGGTGTTTAGGACTCCAGGTGAGTGCAGTCATGTCAGGAAACGATTTGTAAAACTGTTACTTAGAGAAACAGGTGTAAAGAAAATGTCTTTATTTGAAAGCTCTGTCTTCTAGAGGCTCATTTTTATTTTTGTTTTTCTTAGACAAGCTTTATACAGTCTTCAATGTTTTTGATGATGACTCTACCTGCTGGACCTATCATGAAGGCACCTTGTCCATGAAAGTTACAAGAAAGGGACCAGTTATCAGTACACTGGAAGCAGACTGGCTAGAACTAACCACATTTTATTACAAACAAGGATTATCTTTAATTGATTCTTTTGTACACTGGGAAATTTCTAAAGGTGAGTACTATCCCAGAGTACCTTGAAGCTTTTACTTATTCATGTGGATCTAATTACTGTGCAAAAAGTAGATCTTGTTTTGCATGTTGGTGAAAGGCAATATCTAAACATGTTTGGATGGTCTCAGTAAGTTAGTAGAGTCTGATGCCTAAAAAGGAAATGGTTTTGAGCAGTTATAACTCTGAATAACAGCAATTGAAATTCACAATTTTCAAAACATAGTAAATGAAATAAATCTCTGTCACTAGTTCTTTTCCTTTTATGGGATAATGGGAAAAAATCATAAGACATGTTTCACTCCTGTTCATGTTCTGCTGCTTCTCGCTTGAAACATTTCTAATGAGATAAAGAAATTTCAGTTCTCATTGTGCTTATTGTACCATTAATCCTTAAGACAAACTAAGGCTTCCAATAATTTCTCTTTTCTTTAGCATTCTGCTAGGTTTAAAATTCTTAGCAAAACCCGTAATTGTGTTAATTTGACTGTTTATCCTGAAGTTTCAGATCCAGCATCTTTTCTTAGATTGTTCTGGTCAAAACTGGACAAATACACAGAGCAGAGAAATCTGTTTGCTCTTGCTCTCAACTGTAGGGAGATCCTCCAGCATCTTTTCACGTAGCTGGGAGGGGGAGACACTGGATGCTCCCTCCTTGTGAGATGTACAAGCTCAATACTCAGAAATGGTTACAAATAAAAAGCTTCAGGCTGCAGGACTTTCCCTCTCATTTTTGTATTCCTTGTTCATTCTGCCCGAGTTTGATCTCGGTTGTTCTCCTGGCTATTTCGCAGTTCCTGAATGTGATTAAGAGAACTGAATTTGTCTTGAAGTTGGGAGTTGCAAGAGTTGTAGAAACCATATGTAGTTAGCATTATACACTTACTTGAAATTATTACTAAGAAAGTGGCAATACTGTAGTTCTTGGTGAACAGTCCAAGAGAGTCTGACACAGCTGATCGTTTCAGAACTCATTGTATATTGTAATAAATGTTGTTCAATTTTAAAAAAGTATGAGATCTTTAGGTTATATATAATGTGTTCTTCATAAATCAAATGATGAGAGAATGAGAGCTTTAAATTTTTTTTTCTCAATAACTTACCTTTGACTGCTACTTACATTTCTGGTAGCTCAGCAACAAAGTCAATTTAGTACTTATCAGAATCTATGAAGGAACAAGTGCATCAGCATCATTATATTTCCATCCAATTGAATTTGTCACCTATTCCCTCTCAAATTGCAAATTTTGTGCACATAAAGAGTGTAATGGCACAGTTTATATTGGCAATCTCTTCGGTCTCTTAGATTTTAATTCCCATCTATTGAAGTCAATAGAAATGCCAAGATGACTTTGAGGGTGGAGAGGTGAGAAATCGTACTGGTAGTTTTCAATACAGTTTTTTTTAGAGCTGCAAAATAACTCTCTGGAGATAAGTTACAATTCACCATGGGATATTTTCAGCAGCTGTTGAAATTAATCTTTGCAGCTGTTCTCCAAAAACAGTTTTTGCAATCTTCCCATTCCCCTGTTGCTGTCTGCTCTTTTCTATGTGAGTAACTCTCCCAACTTTAATACCCAGGTTATGACTTGCTTGGGGATTCGTGCTGCCTCTTGCAGCAGTTGGTGCTCCTGCTCCAGGCCCACTGGACGGGTTTAGATTTCAGTTGGACACATAGGTGTGACGCTTTTGAATTAAACTGAATGTATCTGAGGGCACAGCCCACCATGTGAATCACGTTCTGCAGCTGACAAGTATCTGTGACCACAGTAAAGAATTATTTCAGCTGCTGAGATTGCAGTACATCTAGTTGTCTTCACTTCCATTTTTTTAGTTTGCTTTTAGATTGTGAGGTACCCTAAGCAGCAGTTTTTCTTCCACGTTGCTGTAGTGAATTGAGCAAGATTTTAGCTATTGTTTTAATAAAAATGAAGACAGTAGATGCAAATAGAACTGCCACAGAAATGCTCCTCTCAAAACTCAATTCCTAATTTAAGACAGGTGGATGTTTGAGAGAACCAAATCACTGATAACTCTTAACTGTCTTCTGTTGTCAAAAGAGAACCCAGTCACAAAAGTAATCTGAGTATCATAGAATCAGAGAATCATAGAATGGATCAGGTTGGAAAAGACTTTAAAGATCATTGAGTGCAACCATGACCTAACCGTACTCCCCTAATTCTAACAACCCACCATTCAATCACGTCCCTGAGCACCACATCCAGACTTTTTTAAACACATTCGGTGACAGCCAGGGACACATCCCCAGTGAGCCAGGACTGCTGAAGGATGATGGATGATGAAGGATGACTCCCTCAGCACCCCAGGGTGCAATACATCCAGCCCAATGGACCTGTGGGTACGTCCTGTTTTACCAGCCACTTGGTTTACTTCCATTCTTCCTTGCGGAGTCTCTTAACCATAGAAGTATGTAAGACATACAGCACATTTTTTAATGATATTGATAAGTATAACCTGAAGGACGTGATACACTTCGAATTAGCACTTTGTCTTAAAAGCCACTGAATGATGGTACCTTCTGTAAGGTTCAGTTATGTTTGAACAGCAACAAAAGTAAAATTCTAGCATGTTACTGATTGACCATTTTAAGTATCTGCCTGAGTACTGAAAAGTTCCTGAACTAAAGAGATGGAGTATTTTTGAACTAGCAGGAGCTGTGCCAGCATTCATATGATTGTGCCCAAAGTTATACATCACTGTTAGGGAAGAGCCAAAATGTGAACTAATATTTGATGCGCAGCTTTAGTTGGGGGCGATTGTACTGTTAGACTTTCACAAGTAAGTCAAGGAGGTGGGCTCTCAAACTTCCTTCCCATCGGGAATCTTCCTACAACTCATTCTGTTTCAGGCTTTTCCTGTGCCCATTCATGTATTAAAGTAACTGCAGCTATGCTTTACACTTCATGCTTCGTTTGTCTTTACAGCCTCTCTCACCACACCAAAAGCCACATTTATTGTCAGACATACAGTATTGAAATTGAATGAAGAGGTTTTGTGCCTGTCTGCTGCGGGGGATATGTTGAATATGGGAAACTTCAATTTTGACTTGCTTTTGAGAAAATGTAACAGTTGATAGCTCAATTTGTATAGGAAAAGGAGTTCTGAATAACAAGTTGGCTGACCTGCTTCATGAAGTTGTAACTAGACGCAGAAAGAAATGTCAGTTATGTTATATAGGAGTTATATAATTTGAGTTCCTAGTTCACTTGAAAGGATTTTTCAGTGAAAAAATAAGCCCATGTGTACATCGCAGTGAGATTCTGACCTAGAAATCTGTATTTCAGCTTAAATTTGTTCTTATGTTCACAGGCGACCATTTGCCCAGATCTTTAGAAGGATTATTTATCTATGAAGAAGAAGGTTCTGGGGTTCCAGGTTCTAGCAGGAAAGGAAATGATGCAATTGTTGTTGAACAATGGACAGTCATTGAGGTAAATTGGTGATTATTTGCCAGTACAATTTCCTGCTTACAATTTATTCATATCCTTAGAATTACTGTACCAGTATTTGATGAACATTACAGGCTGCTTTCTTTAAGCCACCTGGATAAATTAAAACTAGCTTTGAGTCATAGAAATGAAGTCAGACTTCTGCCCATCATTGGTCAGTGTTCTGATGTTCTGGTTTGATACTCATAAATGTTCACACCAGCAAATACAACTAAATAAAATTAATTATTTTATATCTATTTTGGTATGGAATATGTATATTTAATTTTAGCAAGTGTAGGTTCACAGACAACATGCTGAGGTATTCTTAAAGAGGAAGAAAATAGCAAAACCTGGAAGTGAGATTAAAAAAAAAAGATAGTAAATGAATTAAATAGGCCTTTCAGTTGTAGGGCTTCTCTTAGTAATTTTACTTTTAAATATGGAAAGACGTAATTTTTTTTTCTAGTGAAGTTGCATGTGCTGATGTAGAGTGGCAAAATAATAAAATGTTAAAATAATATGCTTGTTATGAATTAGTAGCATTTAAAGTAATGACTGGAAGGTTGCTAAGGGCTTGCTTTTGAGATAGGCAATAATAAATACATTTACTTACCTGAAAAGAGATGGTACAAGACTAATACTTAAAAAGTAGATTTATTTCTAGGGAGGTGCTTGTTACTCAGATCTGAAATAAAAAACAAAATGTATCAGTTGTGAAAATTTTTCTGCTATTTAAAAAGTTTTGCCTTAGGGGTTAATTCAGCCACATGACAAATGTAACAAAGGTGTGCTTTGAGTGTCTTGTTGAATCAGGACTCAAGTCTATAGTTCATATTCTCCTCTTTGTTTCCCTAATCTTCTCCTGTCTTAAACTTTTCAAATTGCTTTGTTTGAAATGTGAAAAATCTTTTCATACCAACCACAACAAATTATGACATTAGAATTAAGAAATAAGAGTATTTGTGATTTGTTATGTATGGAAAGAAAACTGTGCAGTGTGTCTTTACTAATTTCTGTAATTATTGATGTAGGGGTGTGAAGTGAAAACAGATTATGGACCTTTACTGAACACGTTGGCTGAGTTTGGATGGCTCCTGACCTGTGTGCTGCCTACACCTATTGTACGACATGACAGGTATGCAGCATCTTGGTGTATATTCAGAGTTACACAGCTTAGAGGATTAGCAAGCGATTACTTTGTGTACTGAAATATGAAAGCAAGAAATAAGCTAGCAATGTTAACTGCATGTAAAACTTGATAATTGTTTAGCATTATGGTGGAATTTCTTTTACTACCCTGTGCCAGGACTGCCTGCTTCAGTAAGTTTCAAACTTAGACCAAGAATCCAAAATGTAAAATCCATTGTTTATATGTAAACATAAAGTATTTTATTTTGTAACCTTTTCTCACACACTCAGCCCTCATTGATGGGGTTACTCTTATGCTTCATGTTTAAGCAAGTGTCAGAACATCTCACTAACTTGTGGCCTTGGTCAGTGGCTATTTTAGACTATGTAAGAAATGATTTTGTCACAAGACAGTCATGCACTATATGACAAACTAGGGAGGAGAATGTGCTAGTCCAGCAAGTTATTGACCTGTTTCTCATCTTTAACACAGACGTTGTTTCAGTTTACACAGAGTACCAAAGTACTGGATTTCGATTCTCTTATTCCGTTGCTATAATGTTATTTCAGATTTCTTCAGGGACACAAACATTTATACGTATAGGAAGAGCTAAATAGTAGACATAGGTCCTCTGTATTGTTCCAGATTTTTTTCCTTTTTAAAGGAAAATGTACTGTTCTTTGATTCATAATACCAAGCTAAAAAATGGCAAGCACATCGCTGAGCTAAGCTTACGTGGTTGGTTGGGGTTTTTTGGAGATTAAGAATGCCAAAGTTCAGGGGGGAAAAAAAAAAAAGTAAATGTACTGAGACATAGCTTGGGACTCATTAAAAGCAGTGGAAGGACTGAGTAACTTTAGTAATCTTTGGAACCAGACCTTACTGTATTAAATCAAGACAGCATAAAAAGGATGTGAAAGGAAGATTCAAAGTGAGCTGCTCCAAGAACATGGAATTTTGCTGAAGTGACATAATTAAATAAACTCACCCATGTGAGAAGGAGGTATTTCTGATCAGGAAAGCACCTCTTTTGTTTCTATGTTTGCTTTTTTAAATTTATTTTGTGTATTTGTTTTGTTGGGATATTTTAATAGTTTTAACCAACTGGATGCAAGCAAAGACAGAAGAAATTCAGGTAATAAATCTGGTGCATTCCCCTATTAAGGGCTGCTGTATGTTTTTATTCTCTTCATAAACACAGGAAGTTCTTAACTTATTTTGCAAAGCTCCCATTCCGGAGTGAAGTTGTTTTCAAAACATGAAACAAAATTGTATCTTTTAATTCATTTTTTAAGACTAATCTAAGTGTGTTAGCTTTGAACATATGCCTTAAGAGATGCAAACTGCTGAGCCTGGCTTTCATAAGCAGCTGAGACTTTTAGTCTTGAGAAGCAAACCTTCAGGATCCAGGTGAACTTTTTGAGAAGTCTTGAATGGACAGCAGGATAGAAAGGTTGTAAGTCACAAGATGTGAGAGGTTTATGTTCTCTTTTATGGCACAAGCAGTGTAACTGTGCATATCCCCCAAGGGCTCGTAGGGCGAGGGGGAGGTCTGTCCTCAGCAGCCATGTTGTAGAGCAGAATGATGCTATTTTGTACCTGGTAGTTTGCAGAGTGATCTGGCCTGAATGGTTGTAGTATATCTAATATACAACTACCTTCCTCCCTCCTCCCCCCAAAAAAAAAAAACAGCCTAAAAGCTCGTTAATAAGAATTCCTAATTGGGAATGAAGAATGCTTAAACTCCAAAAAAGAATGTGTTATCCTGCCAGTCTGCATATTGATTGATAAATGCTATTTTTAGGCCTTGATGTTGGAATTTAAAGAAGAGAAGGAAATTCCTAGATGATTACTATGTGTCTGATATGAAAGATGCCATTACTGTGTTGGTAGATTATCTAGGAATGTCAGTTAAATGCTGAATAAAGAAGGGTACTTACTGCTGCCAAACAGCTGTTCTTTTCCCATACTGAGAACTCTGACCTCACATCTCAGGCTGAATATGAGCAGGGAGGGTCCAGAGCCATTGAACAAACAGAATGAACAACGCATTGAGATGATTTGACAAATTAATGTTTTCACATTTATTTAAAAACTGAAAATTGTGCAAAATATATAATGAAAATTCTGTTCAAGAATAAAAGATGTAGGTAAGGAGAGCAGCCTGCTCCCTGCCTGTATTTGCCTACATGTTTTAGTGTATTCTGTCTTACTCTACTCATAAATATAGCAAGACTTTGGTAATTGCAGATTTCTCTGGTCTGCTCCTTGCATTAAGCCTGCTGCTTGTCCGTAGACAGAAGGTATGACCACAGGCTGAGTTTGTTTATTGTAACAGGTGTTTCTCTTGGGTTTTTTGGTGTTTTATTTTTTCTTCTGGTTAGGAAAGGGTTGAAAAGTGCCAGGCTATAAAGCTTCTTCCTGTGTGGTTCTGTTGTCTGTCATCCTGAAAGCTGTTCTTCTCCATAAAATAATGTCCTGTTGTGTGGGGTGTCCTGCCACATGCTAACTGAATGTCATGCATCACGGTCCCGTTTCAGGCATGGGCAGCAGTCTGTAGGCCTATTTTGTCCTTCAGTTCCCACTCGGGCTGAATCATGCTGGATACAGGAAATATTTCCGTAAGAAGTGTGATCTTTGTTGTTACAAATAGAGCAATAGTAGATAGCATGCAGAGTTGTCTTCTGTGCCACACTGTTTGAAAACTAAGGACGGTTTTGGAGTATGGGTTTTTTTGTTGCAGTTAGCAGGCTAGAATACCCATAGAAGTTCCTTGCCTTCTGTCAGGGATTCTGTTTTTTCCAGGCATACAAGAACATAGAGCATAAAAACGGGTGTGCCAATGATGCAATGCTTGTATCTATTGATATCTTTGATACTTTAACCAACAAATCAGACCAAGGAAGAATGGAAGAGACTTAAGGAGACTTCTACATTTATTTACAGCTGTTACTTGTAGTTAAATGCTTTCAAGACAAGCATTTGACCATAATCATTCCAAGTTCAGAAGCTGTATGGCACGACTAAAATGAATAGTCCTTTTAGATGTTAAGTCTAGCGACTGGGGAAAAAAACATGTCAGAAGAGATGTTGTTGGTATTTTAGTGCTACTCCAGTTTAAAAAAAAAAAAAAGATACTGTGATTTTCTAGAACCTCGTGCATGATTATGATCTAAATCAAGATTTTATTAAAATATATATTTTTAATATTAATATCTGATGGAACAGTTGTGGTTCAGGTCAGCCAGGAGCCTTATTGTCCCACTGCTATCTGCCTCATAACTGGGAGTCCAAATGCAATGCAATTCCAAAAGAGGGTGAAAATTTCTCTTAGAAAATGCAAATAAACTGAATTGGTTTAAAAGAATTTATCTTGCCCCTTTTCTTCATTTTTCAAGGTATGCTGTCCAATCTTAATTGATCCTTATATAAAAGGTTTCTGCACAGAAGTAAAAACAGATGTAAAATTCACGGCTGTTTGTGGTCCTGTCTGGATTCAAGTAGGATGATTGTTCTTAGGGATTATTTGAAATATGTGTAGATGAAGAGGATGGAGTTACTGCCCAAACAGCATAAGCAGACAAGCAAAACGGTGGTGTTCTAACAAAAGAGTCTCTGTTGCTCTTCATCCCTTGTAAAAGAAGGGACAGGAAAAAGGCTTCAGCAGCCTTACTTAGCAGTGACCTTTATTTCCCCTCACTGATTACTGTAGTCCCTGAAAACGGGCAACACAAACTGTCTGCTAGCATAGAAAAGCAAGCAGGCAAATACAGTGCAGAAACACTGACTTGGTTGTTAGTTTGTCATCACAAGCAACTTAATCTAAGTTTTCAAAATGTCCTAATTTAGGAAGCAAAGTGGGAAGGAGAAAGTGTGAGGGAAGCTGTGCAGTAGCTTGCTCTAAGCATTTTTTCCTCATTTAAATTCTGTGGAAACCCCACTGTCATCAAGTTCTTTGTGAATGAAGCTCATAGCTACTTTGTCGTGTGCAGCATTTTAATCAGGTCAGACTTAGGCATTTGCTAATTTACTCATTGTCTACTCACCATCATGTCCTTCCTCTGTTCTAGGAGAACTTGTACAAGCTGAAGGAAGCTTCACATTTGTTTCTTTTTGTTTTCTCTAAAGGAATGCAGACACAGTTGTGAAGTAAGGCTTAGGCATCTCCCCATAGTAGGGACTCTGCACAACCTTCTCTCTTAAGAGAGATTTCCCATCTGATTACTATTGAAATAGGCACAACCAGGCCGGGGAAGGTAACTGGCAAAGTGGAGTAAGTTTGCAGGATTACTGATTTTCTTGTTATAGTGTGGAACTGTAACACGTTCATTTTCTTTCAGTGAATGGAAATAGTGAAGTAGGGAATGTCAGAAGAGAAAACATGTTAAGCTGAAGAAACAAATGAGCTCATTGCCCCATTTCCCTGTTTACACCATAGTTTGTAGTTTATGATAGTTCTCTTTTTTTCATCCAAGGAAGATATGCAAAGATCTACTATGGCCTGAGCTCAGCTGCGTTGAGAAGATTGTGAGGGGCCAAACACCATTGCAGAGTCACCGTCATTCACTATTGATCAACTCAGCACAGCTGGGAATACTGCTGTTTTGTGTATTTTCTCAGAGCTTACTTTGAGAGCCTTTGCTAGGGTAGGCTCTTAATAAATTCTTTCTGATCCCATTGCAACTGTTTTAATCCCCAGTTGTTCTTGGAGCGGGTCCTTAGCATGAAGTATAAATTCATGTTACCATTCTAGCACTGGCATAAAACACAAATCAGTTACTTCAGCCTTCTGTACGTTGTTGTTAAGATTGTGACTTACATGGTTGAACTTCAGTGTGAGTATTATTTTAGTAGTCCTTCCCAGTTTATTTATATTATAATATATATATAAAAAATAAATATTTTCTAATACAGTTTTATTATTGAGAGAAGAATGGGCAGAATCACAGCTTCCTGAAATGGGCTGTGTATGTAGGAATCACTGTAAGTCTGTTTTAAGTAGTTTCTTTACCTTAGTTGCATATCTGTCGTCATTTCCTTTATGTACATTAAGAGCTCATTGACTACTGCCCAGAAATAGAGTTGAGAAGAATTTATCAAAACACAGTATCAGAGCTCTGGTCTTGCTATTCTTGCACTTATCTAATTCTCCAGTCTTACTCTGCAAGACACGTGATCAATTTGCTGGCCTGTGTTTCTGATGGAAAGGTGGTGAAAACGTATGCCTTACATTTTCAAGAGGATGTAAAGGAGGGTTGTACTATTACCAATAGTAAAATAATGTGTTGGTTTTGAGATATCAACATGAGTTGGTTTTGAGGAGCCATATGTCTTTTTGAGAAAAATAAACAGTGTTGCTTTAAATCACTTCTGCAACTGCATCAATATTTGTAAAAGTTCAAGGACTAAAAACTGAATTCCTCTTTTTTCCTCCATTTGTCATCTTTATTCTCTTGTGTATCCTATGCCATTCTCTATCCCATGCACAAAAGTTTGCATCATTGATCTCATTGAGGATGTATAGGTTAAAACTGAGCTGAGACCTTTTAATCTTAGGTGATGAAATGGCAAGCTTATCTCAGTGTCCAAGTTAGATGTCACCTTAGAACCAGAAAGCACCTTTTAGTTAGCAACAAGGAGTCTTACTTCACAAATTTCATATCACAAAGGTCTTGAGATATTTGGAGCTGTGGATCTATCAAGATTGAGGCTACTTGTGCTGACAAGTAGTTGCATGTTGTACGTCTGCCAGCAAAGACAGATGAAAAGACTTTGAGATTTAATTTCAGATGCTGTAAATGTGTGGACTTAAGCTTTCAAGTGCAGTTCTGTTAATACAGAACAAATAACCCCTTACTTTATACTTTGTTTTCGTGTGCAGTATGTGAACCCAGCTATGTGCTTCTGTTTTTTCAGTACAATTACAGACCTATTTAAGAATTAGTACAGCAGTAGATGCTTGGCAGTCTGTGCTTTTCTGACTCATGCAGCGGTTCGCAGTTGACTCTGAAAAGTGTGAGTGTATTACAGTGAATGTTATTGTCTTTAAATGTTCAAACTATTTTCTTTACATTTTAGTGAAGGAAATCTGGCCACGAAGCAAGTTGTTTTCCTTCAGAGACCTGTTGTATGGAATTCTGCTGTTCAGACACCAGAAGTGAGTAATGGGTTGATAGCATCAATATTAAAATAATAAGTAAATAAATGAGTTCACACAGTAGCTATATACAGTAAGAAATAACTGCTTTTTTGGGGGGGTGAGGCTGGCTGTGCTGCAAGGTTTCTGTGGAAGTCTTAGGGAATTCCTCAGTGAGCTGCCTCAAATCCTGCCTCTGTTGCCCATGAAAAAGATGATGCTTTATTTTGACCTCCAAAGCATCTAGTTTCACACCAGTAGAAGAACACGAGTTCCAAGCTGCACTATGGATTCTGCAGTCTGGAGGTCAACAGAGTGAAGGAGTGTTAGCCATTGCTGCATGAAAATGTGTGTCAGAAATACAGGACTTACAAAGCCTGTGGCTGTACCACTGCAGCCCCTTGTCCCTTTTGAATGAGGCTGCTGTAACAGTGGCTGTATTTTGAGGATTAAACAACTGATAAACATCACATCCCACTCAGAGCCAAGATCACAATAGCTGTGGCACCTGTTGTGCTGTGCAGTAGGAAGGGCCAGGGAAGGATAAACTGGTGGGTTCTTCTTTGCCAAGTCTTTATGCATCCCATGGTGTATTTTCCTTTTTGTTTGTTTTTCTATGGCTGTTCTGTCTTTAGCTAATCAACTTTCTTCTCCCGTAACAGTCTTTCAAGAAGCTATGAGAGCTTTGTGTATTTCAACTTAGGTCAACACTGGAATAGAAACTTTACAAATTTTGTCTTTCATGATTTTAGACTTTGATGAAGGAGTGATACGTACCCTCTTCTTTCCCCATCTGTATAAATAGTTCCATAAGTTTCTAAATATCTGAAATACTTATTTGATCTTTTCACTTTCTATCCAGACTGCTACCATCATCTGTGTTTTCCCCTGATTACTGTTTCTAAAATACATTCTTTCTTTTTTGTTCTCCAGATGTCTTCTTATCTCCAGTCTAACTTCCTTTTCCCTATGTCCCATGGTAGTTTATTCTTCCAGTTCGGGAAGAATGGCTTTCAACTTGCACAATTAAAATCCTGCTTTACTTTTCATCTCCATCACCATCTTAATTGCTAGCTGGTTCTTGCATGCTGTCTGTAATTTATTTTCCTGGTCAACAACATTTGAGCTAGTTTTTTCATCTCTGTTCTGTGCTGTCTCCCTTGCCAGTGCCCTCTTCTAAATTCTGCCAGTTCCTCTTGTAATTTTCCTTCGGTTTCTCCCCGTGTGCCACACATTGTCACAGCTTATGACCCTGGCTTTCTTGCTTTTGTAGTCTGCTTTTTCTGGAACATAATTTTGTTGGTATCAGTATTATAAAGGCATAAAGCCATGGTGGTTTATGATCAAATAAAGTAGATTTCCTCATATTTTCCAGCTTTTTCTTACTAAGTATGTGGTCTCCTGGTGCGAATATTCTTTCCTTGGTAGCTGTAAGACATGCTGTTTCTAACTGCAGCCAGCTTGTAAAAGGCAGCCTAGCCACATGACTCAGGTTAGAAGGGTTAAGACTGGATTCTGCCGGGAGATGCTGTAATACAAACCAGTTCTGTAAAAACATTCAGTCTGAGGAACTGGTGAGTCTTTGAGACGTGTTTGAAATTAAAAATAGAGGAAGCATTATGTTTGCTGTGTAAATGCTGTTGCCTGATTGCGAGATGTTCAGAAGTTGTTGGACCTTCGTGTTCTTTATTTATACAGACAGAATGGTAAGTGTGTTTTTGGTCACAGTTTTACTGTAATGGAAAACCTTTGACGTAAGCATTAAAATATTGGAAATAAACAAGAAATAGATGATTTTGTAGCCATTTACACAGGCATTATAGTGTTTAAAATCTGAGGAGATGTAGGCTCTAAATGTGCCTCTTAAGTACCAGTGAATATTTTACTTCCCTGGCAGGAAATCTCAGTCTGATGAGGTCATTTTAGCGTGGGATAAAGAGGTAGTTGAGGCTAGAGCTGAAATGCTTTGCAGAGTAGCAAAGTGGGCTGGGGCCATGGCAGGGCTTTGACCCACAGGCAGTACCAGCTCTTGGACCACTGTGATTCACCTTCTGGGGGCTGGCAGTACGTGATGCGGGTCGCTTTGTGTAATCGGGGTTGGCTTTGTTGCTGCTTTTGTAATTAGTAGACTGAAACTAAAGAACTTTGTTTCAGTGAAAATTGAGGGAAATCCGTGGTTATCTGGTCTTTTATTCCCACTGGGATCTCTTTCTGAGGAGACTCTATCTTATGTCCTCGTGCCTCAGATCTCTGCCTACTTGTATATTCATGGGCCTGTGCAGTATGCTCTGGCTTATGATTTATGAGGTGGTTCAAACACCTCTTGGATGTAGAAGGGCTGCATTGTCCTGATGGCTTCCTCATCACATACCATTTGCTTTTCTAAGAAACCAGATCAGAATCAGGAGGAGACCTGATGTTAAACCACACTCATGTTTGAGAGTTTTCTCTTTATTTCTTTCAGGCAGATTTTCCATCCTCTTACTGTGGCATCCAGGCAAAGTTTATTTCCTTCTGTTTCTCTTGGGGCAACAGCATTTCCCGTTGGTCTCATTTCTTGATGTCTCCTGCAACAGCTTCCCTTAAATACATTTCCTTTCGCCTCAAGAGCCATTGTTTTTACTCTTCCAGAAGGGTTTGGGAAAAACATTATAGATGTATAGGAGGAACAAAGAACTTGCCGGAGCGTGGCACAAACAGCTGTACTGGTTTTGTTTTGCGTTGGTCAGAGTCAGGCATGTAAAACAGCTGGTTTTATCACGGGGTAAGACTTGTAAATCAGTCTGGGTCTGCAAAGTATTGCATAGGAATTAAATATTGCTGAAATATATATATTTTTTTACTATTTGCTTATGCTTCCTTGAATCTTGACTGTGCTGTATCTTTTGCATCTCTCTTGAAATTTATTTATATTGGCAAGAAAAGTATCTGTTGGGATTTTTCTCCAGAGGAGTTCTTAATTTAAGCAGATGTTAAATGCTACCTTATTTAAAATGCAGTTTGCATTAATTCCAGACAGATCAGTGACTCGCTGCAAAGTGTTTGGCTTTTTTTTCCTACATAAGCTGATGTTTAAACATTCTCCTGTATTTCAGAAGAAATCCTTGAAGCAAGTTACTGGGGAGGAAAAAGGCAAAGCTGCTAGCAGAAGTGTTGGATTAGACACTGCGACTTCCCACCCTGTAGAAACTGCACAACCCCCTGATGAGTTTCACCTGTCTCCTTCTAAACATTGTTGTATCAAAGAGGCCTCCTCCCAGTATGGGGGTTTCTCGGGGTTTGGTAGCAGCGATGGAGTATTAAGGGAGCTGGATGATGGACAATTTGACCAGGAAGATGGAGTCACTCAGGTCACATGTATGTGATCAAGTAAGTAACTGCATCAGATGGACATGTACATAGTTCACACAAATGTAAAACAGTGTATTACTTTAAATGCATTGGTGTAAGCTTATGTCTTTTCCCAGACTGACTCATTTTGTATTATTGTCTGTTTCCTTGTTATGCTAATCCTACTGTAGTAATAATACTACTGCAAAATAATTCGGCTTCCTGTCTGTCTTCAGTAGAATAGCTACCTAAATGGGTGCTCTGCTGCTTGTTGTTAATATTTTTAATAAACAGGGAAACAGAAGCTGCAAAAAAAAAAAAAAAGAAATGACAGTTTGTGTTCTGTAAGAGAGAAAGGAATGTGGATGCTGAGCATTTTCCACAAGCTGGAGGACTGGTTATTGCCTGTTTGTTTTTTTTTTAATTATTATCTTTTAAGACTGTTGTAAATATGAGTGGGAAAAAAAAAAAAAAAAAATTATCTGCATATTGTTATGTTTTTACTTTACTTTTCACTGTTTTTTACTTGCTCTGCCTGAACTCAAAAGCCTGGAGAAATGCAAGTCATATGCTAGAGGGTTGATTTAAGCTGCGTTCAGCCTAGTATGTACAGAAGATTTCTGAAGGCTGTAGGCAGACATTGGTTTCTGTAATACAATCTCACCTACACAGGATTTGCCAAGGTTCCATGTTCCAAGCCATCTTAGTATATAACTTTGCATATAAAAATGGCATGATATATCCATGACTTAGTATGACTGGAAAGGCTGAACTTTGCCACTTAAGTCGGGTAACTTGCATTCTGTGAAGTAGTTTGAGGGGCTGTATATGAAACACTGACAGCCAGGTGCACAATGATGCTGATGATATGCATAGGGGAAGAAGTAGATAATATTAGATGAGAATATTAGATGATACAAAAACGCTGACAGATCATATATACATTTTAAAAATTCCTTGCTAACTATATATCACACCAGATAAACTATATCCAACTGCATCAAATACCGTAAATACTGTTCAGGGGAAAGATGGAAGTTCCTGGGATTCCATCCTTACTGTGGGGATGAGCTCAGATGGGCCCTTGAAGGGAGAGGCGTGCGCAGAATTGTTTTGATGCTGCTGTCTCGAAATTGCATTCGGCAGTTCAGCTTCCTTCGAAGCTGGTCTGCCACTGCAGTTGGGAAAAAGTCAAAAGCCACAAGAAAAGAAATTCTGATTTGTTTTCTTTCCTCAGATCAGTATTGGCATTTTTACATAACATACTATTACTTAGTTACTGCCTGTACTGTCTGTGAGTTGATAGTAATGGCAATGTTGTTGGTTTGGAGCTATTTCCCAATTTCACTGTAGAAAAGAGCAACTCTAACAACTGTTTGTGAGAGACGTTTTCTTCTCCCTGTCCACAAATCCTAGAACTGGAGGCAGCCCATGAATTTCTCTTATTTTCCTGTTTCACACTGCTGACAAGTGCAGCTTCTTTCTCTCATTTGTGTTTCTTAGCCAAAATGGTGGCAGTCTGGCAAAGTAGTTCTGAATGTGACTGTTGTAAGAGCCAAATCCATGCCGCTGGAGTAGCAAGAGCCCTGTGCACAGTGCGGGTTGCAGGAGGGCTGCAGAAGAACCTGGGGTAGCAGGCACAGTAAGAAATGCAGCCTTGTCGAGGTCTCTCCCTGCTTTCCCACTGGCATCTTGAGCTCACAGATGTGAGGCACAAACCTCGCATTCATCCCATCCAGGGACAACATACAGGGGATTTTCCTGCTAAAGGGAGAGTAGTGGCTGTGTGTCCCCACCCAGAGCTGTCGTCTAATGCAGCCTGCTGAGTTGTGGCCCTGGAAGAGCAGGCAGCTCCCCTATGGTGCTACACATGTATGTATGTACATATATATGAAAATCTGTCTCTGGCAGAATGCTAAATAATTTCAGCATATTAAAAATGGAACAGCTGTTGGTCTTCTGCAACTTGGAATATGATGCTGTACTCCTGAAAGTATTTTTCAGAAGTTATCCAAAAAAGCCCACAATACTCTTGCATGTGTGCCATTAATTTTAACTGCTGGTAGTTCTCCATACAAGTCAAACTTGTAAAAAGCAGCAAATTTTGGTCCAAAAACTGGCAACTCTCAGTAACCCACATCTAAAAGCTTTCAATATGTTTCAGAAAAAATTCCCCCTTAGAAAGGAGTACCACAGTAGTTAACGTTAGTGAATCTTAAAACTAAATTGCAACTATTTATGTTATAATATATGAAGCACTAACTTAAATGCAGTCACTATTTCCAAAATGCATTTATTGGATAAAAAGAATCATTTAACTTTTAATTGAGGTATTTTCTTCCCACCAGGTGGTGAGAATGCAGAAAACTCCAACTAGTATCCAGATGCTTTTTCTAAAAAAGTTTTTCCCGTATGATTTATGGGATATAAACACAGGAGATTCCATTTTTGCAACGAGAGCAAGTCTGGATGTCCACCAGTCTATTCTAGAATATTCCCATTTTTAGCAAGAGAAGCTTTTCTTAAATGGTGGCTCTGTTTCAGAGCTGTGAGTGTACTTCAGTCCTCGCTCTTGAGTCTCAATATGTTTTGACTGTGCTGCAAGCTTCTGTAAATTTACTGGTATGTAAATATGCTAAATTTCTTTCTCTGAACTCATTTAGCTATGGGTATTCAGTTAAGGACAGAATGGTTTATTTTTATATGGTTTATAATGCCATTTGTCTCACAGGGCACGAAGTTGCTCATGCTGCAAAAACATTCATCTAGATTGTCTTCTAGTTTTCCGCTGTCTTTCACCTCACAGGGCTACATTTAGGTTCTGTACTGGAAACAAACCAAATTCAATTCTTCACCTGGAAAAAAAAAGTTTCCTGCCAGATTGACAGGAGAGATATGTGTAAAGGCAGTGGCATGGAGAGAGCAGCAAAAGATTAAGTCCCTCAGCACATTTTTTTTTTTAATACAAGAGCTCAAGGGAATAATGGAAATGGTAAGTAGTAAGGTTTGAAACAAGTATTTATTCAGCTGGCTGTGCAACTCCTGCTGCAGGATGTTGTACGTAAAGCTACATGGATCTAAAAGGTGACTGAAAAATTCCTGAAAGGAAAAAACACACTCAATTCTCTTTGAAAGTCGCTGAACCACAAACATGTGGTCTGATTAGTTCTTAGACTTGTTATTCTTTGTCTCTGGGATAGCTGGACTGAGTTAGACTGCTGTAGAAGGGTAGCAGAGAGTGGTTTCCTGCTGCAAGACCTTTCAAAAACAGAGGAAAGGGTTTGCTCGGTCCATAGGCTGCATGTGAATGATCTGACTTCATGCACTAGTTGAAGACCACAGAATTAACCCACCTGTCTTCCTAGGGCATGAATGTTGAAATATCTGAAAACGCTTCTAAAACATAAGATGGCTTTCAGAACTTTTAATGACAAAAAGTTTTTCCATCTCATTTGAAGAAGTGAAAAGGAGAGGGTACATTTTCTGTACAGGGGATTCTAATTGAAGCTACGTGTTTTGTTATGCTCTTACACAAATGAGAGCATTAAGGTGTGCCTTACTAATGTTGTAAATTACTAGCACCTTTTTTTAATTCAAAGTTTGTAAAGCAGAAGAGCTGTGAGGGAGGGTAAGACTGTTGGTAAGTTTTCTTTAAATGCTCCTATTGTTCTTTACATATACATATGCACACTGCTCAGTCTTCATTTTACAAGAATGTATTTTATGTATTTCATTATCTTAGGCCTTTTTATTGAATCAAACTTAAAGCACGAATGCATTCTCCAACAAAAAAAAACCCCACGAATTTATTCTCCAGTGTGGCTTCAGCTGTGTGTTTAGTAGAGTCCCTTACCTGCATGTGGCAGCACAAATGCCCTAGAACTATTAGAAAACTCGGAGATGGAAAGCCATTAATGCTCTTCCTAAAGCTCTGCAAAAGACTGTTTATAGTTCAAGTCTTAAATTGTTTGGATAGGAAATGCTTTTAAAAGTGTTTGCAAACCAGGAGAAATAGTCTGTTAAAAACAAAAATACTGTGCCCTGCTCATATTTATCCCAACAATTTTTTTTTTACATACCTCATCACCTGCAATAAACTGCTGCTTAACTTCTGTTTCTGGTCTATAAAACGCAGTGTTTTTTGTGTAATGTTAAATTCCTTTCTATATTTCTGAGAGGAAGCTTCTCACCATTAAAAGCACTTACCAAATCAGCTATCAATGTCTTAATTATGTTTGTCTCACAGTGGCATTAAATCCATTAGATTGGTGTAGACCTTCTTCAGTTATTGTTGCTGGTTCTTGTTTGTACATACAGCGAAGCTTGCTAGAATTTTAATCATCTATTGGAAGCTAATTAGCTTTCTTTCTACTTAAGATATTAGTCTGGAAGCTTAAAAAAAGAAAAGTTCAGGTTCCTGTTACGACAGTTCCCTAAGGGTTAAATCATGGATGAGGAGTGCTATTTCTGAGATTCAGATTTTTTCCAAGCCTGTTTTCTGTGTGAGAACTGAGATGAAAGGTATGAATTAGTGATGAAAATTCTTCAGGAAAGCATAACTTCGGACAGCTTTGCTTACAGAAACAGGTCTGCTGCTGTGTTTTTATCTGTTTAAGCAGAAACTTGAACAACATCTAAAACTTCAGCAGCGCAACCACTGTGGCTGACCTGATGCAACACACTGCACTGGGGAAAACCTGAGTGATGAAGAGAAGACATCTTGTGAGTTAGCCTCTGCTTGTGGGAGGCTGTTCCAGCAGTGATGTGCTACATGTAACGTCGTGCTTATTTGGGTATCTGAAAGGTCCTTTGTAAATCTGAGTGACTTTTAAACTGTAGAACCAGCATTTTCTGAATTGAGAGATGAATACATTTGAAGTCCAGCTTCTAGATGCTTATGAGTATTGTATTTATCTACTTTCGGAAGAAGAAATACAAGTTCAGCACCCCTCGTAGCAAAGATGGGAGAACACTGAACTTTGTCTTGGAAGCACTCGGTTGCCTGCATTCTTGGACAACGTGAGAAATGAGAATCACTTACTAAAATGTAGTGGTATGGACAAAGTAACAGTTTAATTTTAATCGTTGGTTTGTTTACAATATATTTCAAAGACAGTCTTCCATTTCCCTGTTACGTAGAGTGTAAATGAAATCTGTTAATGTATTTAACTAGACAAACTGATGATTTCCTTAGGCGAAGTTAAGTTTCATGGTACCATTCAGGCACGTATGTGTACGCAGTACTCGTGTAAACAATAGCAAGGGAAAATACAAGCAGTGTTTCACTTAAGCCGTATATAAAAGAGAGCAAGTCAATTTACAGTGCAAATCTGAATGAGAATGAATAGGATTAAAACTTCCAGAGTTTTGTTCTGAAGTGAAACTCTTAAAGCGTAAGAGGACGAAAAGAGGTTTAAAACTTTAATGCAGTCCTGAGCACCACATCTGCTTCAATTGCGTAGAGGAAATGTAATCAGTAACACAAGTTACAAGGTTTTGCCTCTGTCAGTCACCGGGACCAATATAAGCATGCAGAGTGACTGTACAAAAGAACCACACCGTGAATGGTCCTACAGCAAACTGTACCAAAACTGAATACATTTTACCATCTCCAAAATACAGATGTCTCCCTGCCTCTAATACAAACTTAAGATACCTATTTGGTCTATACAAGGCAAGTTAGAATTAACTCTATAGGCAGTAACTAAAGCTACGTTCACTCATACAACATCTCATGCAGTAACCCTGCTGACAGTTAAATACAGCTATAAATGTGAGACAGAAGAGCTGCTGAAGAAAGCAGTTGCTGAAGTAGTTCATAAGCTTAGTCTCTTTATTATCTTATAATTAAAATTCCCTTTACATCCAGGTGGTACAGTTGCTTGAGGTGTGCTTGATTTGTGTAAAGAAAAATAGAATTTAAGGCATGTTTAGTGTATTATGGAAAAAAAATATTAAATAGGTGAACTCCCTTCTTTCCAGGTAAGTATAACTTAAAAAACCAAGTACAGTTTACAGAAACTAGCTTAGTTAGCCCATTGTGACCTGCATAAAGAAATAACAGAGCCCCCCTGGCAACTTCCAAGAGAAATGACTGGCTACCTCTTCGAACAAATAAGCAAAATTCATTTAACGTAAGAACACCACTAGTGCTTTTATACCCTGCATTCATGCCCACCTAGCAGTATATCTGTCTGCTATATTCATCTCTAAAATATTTAATTCTATCATTCTAGACAAAACACAATTAAGCAGCACTCATGGAAATTGTCAGTTATTGCAAATCTGCAAACGCAAATTGAAACAAACATCTAAAAGGGAACAGAAGCATTAGTCCAAATCTTTCTGTCAATATAATCCAGGTGAACAAAGAAAAATTAACATATACTGGAAATATGATGAACTCTTACAAAGAGTCAGGTTCAATTTTTCAAGTACTTAGGTGTTCTTTTCTAAAAATACAAGTAAAGACTATGCTAGCGGGTTATGTGGCGTAATGAGAGTATTTCTGTGAGGTATAGTCTGTAAGCCATTGCCATGAACAGGTATAAGCCATTGAGTTTGTGTTGTTTTTGCCACAGTTACTCTTAAAGAAATTGTGGAGTGGAGAACAACAGAAGCGTGCTTTAGCAGGACAGAAAACAGCCCCTACTGCACACAGGCCTCCGCTGGTAACAAAAGAAAAGAACAGGCTGAAAAAGTAAGTTAGACACATATCAATAATATATCTGTTAAATATCACAGTAAAATTATCCTTTTGGTATTACTAATACTATAAATGCTCTTAGTGTTTGGATAGACACATACAGGAATATGCACAACCAGAAGTAAATCTTCAAAGCCATCTTAAAAAAATAAAAGCTAAATTAGGAATAAGCTACACTGCTAAGAGCTTCCTGCAGAATTCTATATTTAAGGTGAAAATCTTTGAACTAACCTAGCTACTGTATTACAAAATGGCTTGCTGTGTAATCTTAATCTTGGTTTTTTTTCCCCACCCAATCTGTCATCTTCAGGATTGTGATTCAATGATTGTTTAGCAGCAATTTTAGAGAACTGTAAATTCTTTTATTAACAGGCATTATAAACAGATACTGCTACTTTTATTTAAAAACCATGAGTGCCACGTTGATGAATATACAGCTCATGAATAACTTAAAGTATTTCCCATATTAAAAGGCAATGCACACAGCATACAAAAAGTATACTAAACAAAGCTATAAGGATACATGATTGAAGTGTCTAAAATGATATATACAGTACATAATTAATTTTTTTTTGTATTCAGTATAGGCTTCAATACCGTCATCCCCATCATGCCTCACTCTCGCCTGACACTGAGTTTTGCACTTCTTCTTCCAAAATTGGTACAATCAGGTTATCCTTGGACATCAGATTATACTTCATCACAAATTTAGTGAACCGGTGACACAAGAAAGTTTCATTCTGGAGATGAAAAAAGGGGAAAAATAAATACAGAGAAGGAATATTATAAACAATTGAGGAAAAAATAAACTGCTTTTATGTAATTATGTAATGGATTTAGGAGTCTTAGAAACAATTAGCAATGCCTAAATGATTAATCTATACTACTACTTTTAACATATCCCCTTCACTACTAGATTATAAGCTTGAACTTCAGATGGGGCTTTGGTTCATTGCTTAAGTCATAGCTCAATTTAACAGTACTTAAGGAAAAATGTATTAAAATATCACCATAGTTTTGCTCTACTCTCCAGAAAAGGATTTTAAGGTATTGAACTCCTACTACATACACCATCCCCACCAAAATGGAACACAGCTGTTCCAGCAACTTGAAGTGGTCGGCAAACATTTTGTTCTACATGCAGCTCTCTCCTTAACTATTCATTTCTATGTCCTGGTTAGAAAAACCCAAACCCTAGGAAGTGCCACTCATTTTTGCTTTTATGTGGTTTTATAATTATAATCCTTTAACTGGCTGCTTAACGTATGTCATCAGGAAACATATATTTCTAAACATATATTTTATAAGCTATACTATAAGCATTGAACACAGTTGGAAATCTTTAAAGTAAGATGATGAATTGGTGTTGCTTGAATAAAACCAAGAAAAAGAAAGAGTAACCAATTGGATATATTAACTAAACAGACAACTTTTCATTTATAACTTTATAAAAAACACACACACCCCTTCCTGTCTTTAATTTAGCTCTGAGACTTAAATCACAGCATGGAATTTCAGTTCTTACAGAAATACTATCTACTGTAATAAATACTTCACATCAGTGAAGATCTTCTGTAAGTGTTAAAAGAAGGCAATACAATTATGACAGCTGTAATTTCAGCAATAACTGAACTACTGAACTACTTACTTCATATTCATCAAATATCTGCCGATGATGAAAATAAGCATGTGAAAATATTCTGTAAATCCTTCGGCACACAGATCCTAATTTGGCTACAGAGGATTCCTTTATGCTAACCCTGTAAGCACCAGGAGAAAGGTTACAAAACAAATCTACTGCCATGACTAGTGAAATACATGTCAATGTGATTTCTGACTGTTAAACTACATTGTGAAGTTACATACTAAATTTAGAGTGAAGTTTTACAGGTATGCCTGCAGTTGCTTCTTTCTGCATGAGTAATAAAAATGCTGATGCACCCTGCACATATAAAAACTGTATAATTTGCCTGTACTATAGAAACATCTGGTGGGGGCTGGATTTCAGGTTTCTAGCAATGAAGAGCAAAGGGAAAAAGACTTCCAGCTCCACCTCCTTACCAATAGAGGATTCCCAGAGAAGCACCATTTTGACTCCTCTAGTTAGGTTTCTGTGATCCAACAGGGCAGGCTGCCCACTGAACGCACTCAGTCTGTCTTCTGCTGTCCCACACTGGATTGCTGCTGCTTTCTGGAGATTCTCAGTGGGGTACTGTGTAAGTCCTCTATCTGTTTAAGTCCTGTTACTTAGACTGGCATTCCAGTGCAAGCCCCGTAGCAATACCAAGAAATATGAGGAAAACAAATAGTTTCTGCTTAAAAAGCACTTCTGGCAGCTCCAGCTGATGGCAGACTGTTTCAGTAGGCAGGAATTCTTTCTTGGCTTAAAAGCAATGGTTACTGTACCAACAACACTGGCCCATTCTGTAGGATTTCTGATGCTCTCAGTAGTATTCCACAGAAATGGTGTTACATGTTCCTATGTGGTCTTTTTAGGTGCCATTTATACCCCACCACCTCTCTGCTCCCAAAATAAAACATTTTTACCTGCTGGGGAAATACTTGTTGCTATTCAGAAGACATGCAGCTCCATCAAGCGTGTGTCTGGTGTAGTCTATAGCAGGACACTACAAAAATACAGCATGATGTTACCACATAACTTACTTAATTGTTTTTCTTTAAGTTTCCTGATGCTTTTAATATAATTAGCCATTTTTCTTCCCAGAAGTTTCTTACAGCTTCTCTGAAGGTCTGGCTACATTTCCTTCTCGAGCAGGATGTTGCTTTTCTTTGTTTTACAATCCATGTCAATTATTTCAGGAGACAAGTTACTATGGAAATGTGATCATGCGCATGAGTAGTGAATTTTATGCATCTTCTTAAGTAACACCTTATAATACAAATGCATACTGGAGGTACACTAAAAGGAAAAACATTCCTTATGTCACAACTGACTTGTTTCTCACATCGTCAAGCTGCCAGACTACTGCTTTTACAACCTATCCAAAAAGAGTTACAAATCAAAAACAAAAACCCAGAACTGCCCCTAAACGTAACTGCTGTTTTTAACCAACTTGTCAAGGAAAAGCATAATTCTAGATAAATACATTATAAGCCAAGACCTGTCTCTGCAATTAAGTATTTGCAGAAGAAAAGGACAAAAACCAACGTGAACTGGGACAGGCAGAGGGAGATCAGCAATGCCTGTCCTTTTTGTCATTCCCTGCTTCCAGAGGAATGACTTCTCAGTTATAATTTTTGGTAAGCAGTCTCTCAGGGTTGCCTTGCTCACTCTCTGACCATGAGGCAATAGGTATCAACATGAAAAACAGCAGATGAATGATGCTCAGAGATAACCAGTATTACCTCCTCTTTTCTCTGACTGCAAACACCACCTAGGTAGAATGCTGTCATTTTATCTCTGATACTGCTGTAGGAAGCAGTTCCCTCCTACCTTATCCTACCTTCTCTAAACTCACTACCAAACAAGAAATCAGGAAACCTCATATGATTGTTCTTAACACACAAAAGCGCTCAGCTTGCCTAAGAAGCCAACTGCAACAGTCTCCTTATGAGCTGTGAGGTGTAGAAGAAAACCTTACATCAATAGGGTCAGTTTTACACAACGCATCCATACCTCTTTGGGAGTTTTATGAGCTGCACAAAGAAAAATCCATTGTTCAGTTGCTGTCATCTGAGTACATGTGTCTGGGTGACATTCACTCTGTTAAAACAATTGTTCAGTTACAAAAACCAGTTTCAGTTACCCAAAAGCAAAAAAAAAAAAATCAGATGGTCTTTTCAGATCACTTTCTTGTCCTGCCCACCACCAAAGAGTTATTTGCTAGAAGTCTTTAAAACCCTAAAAACCCTGTAACCACTGCTTAAGCATAGATGTATAAATTCAAAAGAAAATTCTACAGACTCTGCATCAAGTCTCTTCCCCAATACAATATAAAAATATTAAGGAAAGAATTACCTGAAGCTTGACAGCTAGTCCATTGAGCTCAAGGCAGAATTGTCTAAAAAGGAATTTGAATGCAACAGCATCAAAATCAAACCATTTGTTTTCACACTGGAAATACTAAATACAAACAAAATGATACATTCTGATCTTCTTAACAGATGTTAACATTTTTTTGAAATGACTGTTATAAAGTGGAAAAAATAGAACAAGAAAAAACACTGCACTTTAAGAATACCATCACGTAATTTCAGCTGATGTGAGACTTGAAAAATTGTATGTACAACAGGCTACGAATTAACGCACTATAAGAAGAATACAAGGTGAGAGAAACAGAATGCTTACCAGCATGTCTTGTTTACTGACTACAACAAGTATATTTGAATTTTTACCTAACAGCACAATTTTGTGGAGTCTTTAAGATACCCACTTCGTAACGGAAGAAATACTATTTCACAAATAGAGATTTTAAAAAAATTAATTAAAGAACACTTTGAGAAAATTAAGAGCATAATTTGCAGATGTGCATCATTCCATCCTTCTGAGATACACATCCTCAAAACCAGTTAAGTACCTAAAGTACCACCACAGATGATTAACAGAGTGAGAGACTTCTAGAAATGCAGTTTCCACTACAATGTGTCTGAAAGTACATTCCTTAACTTCTTTGATTCACATTCCCTCCCCCCGCCTCTAGACTACAAAAAAATTGGAATAGTGTTTTCTAGAAGTGATGTGTCTATAGTGAGAAGTCACTTCTGTGAATCTAGCATGATTTTCACTGTATGTGAGAGGACGAAGGAAACGAGAGCCAAGAGGTTAGGAGGTATAAATCTACAATAGCTATTGTGAAAATATATGCAATAAAGCATGTATGTTGAATAAAATCTTTTCAATTAAACAGAGAATGGCAACATGTTTTGAATTTCCTTACTGTAATACTATAAGAACTCTAAGACACAGCCACTCCTCCTTTCTTGCTTTTAAAACATATTTTCCTGCAAGTTCCAGAAAAAAAACACACTGGAAGTATCTAGAAAAATGGGACTTGTATCCCCAGTAAGCAAAGATTAAGCGTTAGTGATGCTAGCAGAAAGTCCTATGGAAATTCATGACTATTTTTGTAGGAAAAGTATGTCAGAAAAACTTCTGAAGTGAAGGACCATTCTTAAAAAATATTACATCAGAGAGCATTATAAAGAACAAGAAATTCAGAAAATTACCTAATACAAAATTATTAAAATATTTAGTAGAAACCCCCTACCACTACCAACGAACAAAACTCAGACTCAAGACATTATGCTGATGAAGATGAATCCTTACCTTAGATGTTCATACTTCCATACACCTTCATCCTGGCCTTCGGGAGGTTCAAGGATCTTATCAATGTTGGAACAGTCTGCCCTTATGTTTTGCTGGATGTACTAAGGTGGAAGAGGGGAAACAAACACTAGATCTTCTTGTAATTACGGTAAAATGATGTAATTGGGACATTATTATGCCTTCAAGACACTTACTTTCCCAGAGATAAAGTCATTTTCCATTTATTTAGAAAGTAATGGATAGGCTAAAAGTTTAAAAAGTAGATTTTTTTTAATTTTTTTTTTTTACAACCTGTAGTGGAAATGCTAAGCAAGTCACTGTCTGAAGCAGTGATTGAGCATCTGGTGGAAGGTTGGGCCAACCCAGGGCTACTCAGGTGCATGCAATACAATGCAATGCAATGCACCTGAGTGACTGGAAGGGGTGGAGTCAGGACCCACACCTTCCCAGACCTCATTTAAGGGTTGGCAATGGAGGTAAGGGCATCTTGCTGGAGATCCCTGTGTACCCTGAGGCCTTACAAAGGTAAGCAGATTTTCTTTTTTTGTGTGTCCACAGCTGCTGTGTTTGGGCTTGTTCTCATTTGCTGCAGCCTAGGCTTGTGCCACCCTGCTATTATTGCTGTACTTTCCATTGCATTTCAGCATTACACAACCCCACTTTTTTTTTTAATTGTATCTGACTTGTTTAAATCATATTTGAGAATCCTAGATATTTCTCCACATTCAATTAGTAATCACTTCATTATTTTTTAAAGTTTCTGAAATTAATTCTTTTGTGAAACCCCTGTAAGCAGAAAAAGAATATACCATGATTCTTTTTCTTTTGTTTGTTCGTTTTTAAACAAAAAAAAATACCTTAAGAAATTGAGTTTACAAACAGCATTTCAGATAAGTAAGAGTACCTGCTGAACAGCTAATGTGCTATCCATCTCCTCAAAGGACTCATCAGGCCAATTATAGAAATCCTGTTTAAAAAAAAAAAATGTAAACCCATTTAACAAACAGAAGGGGAGAGGAAGAAAGGCACAGTACACTCCTACATGAAGGAAAGTAGATGCAGGCTCAGTTCATGCAATTCCAGGAAACTACATCTTAATAGAAGCAGCACACAAACTTGGTGTCTATATGGTGAAGCAGTGCTTAGGCTTCTACTGTGCTGCTATTAGAACCCCTCTGTTTGACTTGGTGTGTGTGGTAAACATTGCCTCTTCCACACATCTTGCTGCAGCCTTTGATTTTTAAATCAAACATGTGCATACGGTGTCAATTTCACAAGTTAGACAACGTAAGAATGGGAAAATAAGAGGTCTGTGGAAAGCAGCATTATAGTATTGGCACTAAGCTAAAAATCCCAGTGTATTCCAGTAATAACACACCACTGAAAGCAGCTTCTGCGAGCTGATGCTGCACCACAGACACAGCTCTGTGCTGTGTTCCTCTGGCCCAGTCAGTGTGCTGCTGCTCTACCAGCCCACAGCATTCACTGCTGCTAACATCAACAACCTCCTGAAGTCTCACATCGGGCCCAGCTGCACATCAGTGCTCTGCAGCTGTTTTCACCCAGTGTGATTACGATAACCCCAGAGAAATGGGATTTCTAACTCTGCATTTTCATTCAGTGCTGCTTCTCCTGGGAGCCAGAAGCATTAATGTTGGCTTCCTGCTGCTGACCTCATGCTGCAGTGACTCAGGGAAGGCGTCCTCCCTGTGCAGCTCAGCAGGCTGCTCTGCGACAGCTTGAGGGAAAGGAGCAGCCAGTGCTTGGATGGTGGGTGGCTGTATTTACGCACTGCACAGCTATACCATAGCATCATCTAGGATGAAATTCGGTCACGCACAGAAGTATCTCCAAAATTCTTCAGCCCACGTGAGTTTCGCTATTTCATAGTCTCACCGACTGCGGTTTTGTATTTTTCAGGATACCCAGAAGATGGCAGATGCTCCGCGGGTTGAACACGCACGGAACGCACGGCGCCGCGCAGTGACGGAGCTCCGGATGTCCTGCCGAAGGCTACCGGGGGAGAGAGACGCGCCCTCCCCCAGCCCCGTGCCGTCACCGCTCTGCCGCCGAGCCCTGCCGGCAACGGCGGAACGAAAACGACTCCCGCAAAGGCCTGGCGGAGGGCTCGCCTCGGGAGCGACCCGAAGAGCACGGCAGACGCCCGAGACGCGCCCCTTCCAGGCGGGCTCGGAAGCGCCGGCGCGGCGCGGTCGGTGAGCAGCAAGCGGCTGGCGGCCGCGTTACGTAAGGGCCGCCCGGGCCTCCGCAGGGCCGCGGCTCCGGCCCGTTGGTGCCGCCGGCGCGGACGGGGAAGCGGACGCCGCGCGAGGCGGAGGGAGCCGCGCTTCGGCCCGGTGACGCCGGGCTACTCGGCGGCGGAGCGCGGCGGGCCCGGCAGCCGCACGGAGGTGCCCTCGGGCCCCGGCCGGCCGCGCGGAACAAAGCGGCCCCGCGGAGCGCGGCCCGGCCGGTATCGGCGCCCCGACGGCCGGCCCGCCATCGCGCCTCGGAGGCGGCGCCGCCCGCTCCCCGGGCCCGGCCGCGCGGCGACGGCGCCTCACCTGGGCCTTGGTGCCCGGCCTGTTCCGCCTCAGCACTGCCGTCCCCTCCGCCATGACCATAGTGACAGCCGCGCCAGGGCCCGGATGTGGCGGCGCCGGGCGGGGCGAGGGGCCGGGCGAGCGGCCGTTGGGCGGTGCGAGGCGGGAAGTCTCGCGAGAGGCGCTGAGAAAGCGGCGTCGGACGGCGCGGCGCGGCTGCGTGGGCGCGGGGCCGGGCGGGAGCGGCGTGAGGCGGGCGGCCGAGCGGCCGTCCCCACAGCAGGGGGTGCGGAGGGGCGGCGACGAGCTGGGCGATGCGCAAGTGATGAGAGGCGCGGAACGGTGCCGCTCCCCGCTTGGCTGTGGGCACCCCGGCTTTGTGAGAGGGAGCGGGAGTTCCGTGCGCGGCGCGCTGACGCGGGCGCATCTCGAGGGCCCGCTTGCTCTGTTACTGTTTTACCGGTGAGCCGCGGGTCAGCGTGACTGCCCCGAGAACGAGCCCAAGCCCCGCAGCGGGAAACTGCTCCTCTCAGCGCTTTCTCCGAGGTGAGGAGGTTAATAACAGCAGGAGCAGCCGCTGCTGGGGGTATGCCTGCCGTGCTGCCTGTTAGATCTGCTGGGAGCCTGCGTTAATTTGTTATGACGCTGATTAATAATTAGCCAGCCCCCAAGTAACAGCGGTGCCGTTTCAGTCCCTCATAACGTAGTCTTGTGTTGTTCTTTTTAATGAATTGCAAGGTTCAGCTGGTATCTAAAGCACAGAACAGGGGGAGATGTGACGTTTTCAGTTGTCCCTGACTTCTGTTTCATGGACACGTTGCTTCTGAAATGCAGATAAATCTGGCTGAGAACAGCCACCTCTCCGTGAGAAATGCACACCCTTCAGTTTGAGACTGGCTCAGTTTTGTGGAAAAAGTTTCTGAAGTGTTTCTTAATCAAGATATGTAAATCTGTGCATTTTTTGTTGCTCTTTGATAATTACCCCCTTAATTATTTTTTCCAGTGAATTTCCAGTGGTTCTAAAACAAAATCTACAGATCAACAGTAATTCCACTTCATGGTTTTTTTTTTACCTGGTATCCATTGTTTCATTAGTGAGAAGGGGAATATTTGGCCAAGGTCATCTTACCCCTGTGCTGTTAGGACCTGGACATTGCTCTCTAGATCTTCTCCTCAGTGGGTGTGAAAGCTTTATCCTGTTCCTACTGTGGCAGGGAACAGGCATAATGAGAAAAGCCTTCAGAAGCCCTTTCCAGAATGGAAAGAAAAGGAAAATGTAGATGGAGTCTGCCTTCATTCTTTATAGTTCAGATAGCTGGAAAGAACTGGATCCTCACCAAATAACAGGTAGGGCTGAATGTGATTTTTTTTTTTCTTTTTTTTTTCTTCCACACATTGGAGCTTTGATGTTCTGGGAATCAGTGGAACAAACAAGTCTAAATTCTTACAGAAGCACAAGAGAGCATTTGTCACTGATACTGACCTTCACTCTGTAACCGGGGGATATAAAATATGGTATGTAGCCATGGACTTAAAAAACAGTAATGGCAGATGGATCACCTTGGCAGTGTAGTAGGTTATGTTGTCCCTGCTGACAAGGACAGCCTTGTAGTGCAGGAATAAAATGTTCTGTCTGACCTATCCAACACACAAGCATGTCCTCAATTTGATTAGGCTAAGGGATGCTTTTTCTTTTTTTTTTTTTCCTTCTATCTATGTATCTTTTATTCCCATGAAACTTCTAAAGAAAATGTGACATTGGTTTTGAGTGTGTTATATAAAGGCTAGATATATGTGAGAAATATTTTATTTAATAAGAATGACAGCAAGGTGCTGAAAATCTCCTGAGGCTGAAAGCACGAGTTGGAGTTTGGGTTGGGAGCAGAGATGTGTGTTGTGCACTTGGCAACAACTGGTTGTTGGTGTGTTGTGCACTTGGCAGTGCTGGTTCAGTGCAGTACTGCTGGGTGCAGGCTGGGTTGGCAGGGCAGCCTTGGCCAATGACTATGGGAAGTGGTGCAGGTAGCAAAGGTGTATGTGCTGCCTCTGTTCCTCAGAGTTGCCTGGTCTCAGGCTGCACCACTGTGGTTTAAAGCAGCTTTTCAACTGTGAACCTCACGAGTAAGGATCAAATTATCTCTATTACAAATTATCTCTAAAAGACAGTATTTAAATGCTTGGCTTAAACGTTTACCTGTTGGGTATTATTTCCTACTGCACCTTTTTTTTTCTTCTTAAGATGTCATCCAGTTTCTGTAAGTTAATTAAGCTTTGAATACGTTAAATACCTTCCCCCTCTCAGTATGTGACTACACCAGAATACCTGCCTTATCACACAAGATAAAAGCATGCTTGCTGCAGGGGAAGATAATGCTTCTCACTGAGCTTGTGTTCCGTTGTGCAATAAATTGTCTTTTAAGATAACCGCAGTGCGATAACCTCGTTTCTGCTATAACGTGTGCTGCTCTATTATAGTAAAACTTCCCCAGGGCAGATTTCAGGTCAGCTTGTTGTGCCAAAGGATTTCTCTATTATCTTGTTAGTGCCCACTCTTGCTTACTGGGAATTCTCTACCACTATCTCAACAGAGCAGCTTTTGCATGGTTTGCCTACAGCTCCAAAGTAGGTGCTCACCAGCTACAGGGAAAAGGCATTACAGCCAACTTCTAATGGAATTGCTGGGTGATACTTAATGTTGTGTAAAAAGTAGCAGCAGATCACACCCAGCAGAAAATACGTTGTTTTAGGGCATGTGGAAGCAAAAGTTCCTCACTATCGCTACTGAAAGTAATAAATGTTTTTTATTACAGTCCGTTACGGTTATCTGCAGGTTTACAGTTTATCTAGCAATGTTGCTTTTGTAACAGCTTTAATTCATTAAGATCTACTATTCAGCTACTATTGATTTTTTGGTAGCAATGAGTGCTGTATGGACTTATTTCACATAAGCCTGTATCAAAGCCTTTTAAGACAGTCTATCCTCACAGGCTGCACTAGGTCAATGCGTACCAATTATGAAGGCATCCCTAGGAACAGTATAAAGTGCAGATCTGTGCAGTCATGTGCAAATAACCTTGAATTCATTCCCAAGGCAAAAGAGGGCAGTTAGAAATATGCTAGTGTGATTGCTTCAGCATGAGTTGAGTAAATATCTTACTGTTTAAGAATGCTACTTTAAAGATAAATGAAGTATAATTTGTGAAATACAGTATTACCTCTCTACTAAGTTGTGAGAGAGGAAGAGATCTGGCAAGATGAAGCAAAGTTGTTATTACTGCATTAAGACCAGCATCAGCTCCAATTCTGCCAATTAACTTCTGTAGGAAGTTATTTGGTAGGCAGAAAATAATCACTTAGAAAGAATTCTAATGATTTTTATTACCTATTAGAGGCATCGCTAGCAGCAAGCTCTGTTCAGACCAGGGCAGGATGGTTTGTGTGCCTTCATCTTGCTCTGTACCAAAGGTCTTGTTGTCTACCACTGGCTAATGCTGGAAATGAAGTCAAACCAATCTGTTACTTCAGGTAAAGTTTGAGATGAAACAAAGCTACTGTCGTCTTTATCACTGTCTCTCTGTAATAACCACTTTCAATTTGTCTCCCACCACTAGACAAACTTATTTTCATTAAAGTATTACTACAACAAAGATATCTTTTCCAGAGATTACTTCAAGACATCGCACAACTGATACTCAGTTTCCCAGAGCAGTAGCAGAAACTGAGACAAAAGCAGCACAGTTTTAGAAATTTATTGTAAAGGCCTTTACAATTTCAGTACACAGGTAAGGGTACAAAAATGATGCTGTTTGGAATAATTAAGGCTGGATGGTGGCATTTTACTGTTCAGTGGAACTCAAGCAAGAGCAACCAATTTCTGACTGTACATACTTTTATTTCTGTTCCATCATTACAGTGAGATCACAAGTTATTTCAGCGACTCAATGCCTGTTTATTATAAAATAAAGGACATTATTTACATGATGAAAGAAAGCATTTCAGAATTTAGTGGAATGGATGACTGATACTGCAACAACTTCAGTCCAGGTATTTTCCAAGAATGTCACCATCTCTAAATAAGTAGTAGTCCTGCAAGCAGAAGAAATATTAGCATCACAACTGATTTTATCAGCTGTTTTGCAGATACTGCCTGGTTCTGAAGGTTACCACACATCATAAAGTACAAAACAAAAGTGAGCTAACCACAATTTGTTCTACCTATTGGACTTGTGTAAAGTTTTTTATTTTCCAGAAGCCACAACTTGGGAATGCTAGTGCACAAGTACTGTAAGAGGACAATTCTGTAGGCCTTCCCCATCAAAAGCAAGGATGGCCCAGAAATTTCAGAGCCTTTTAAGCTTTCCTCTACTGCTTGTTTGGCAGATGAAAGCACTTTGTCCATCAAGCAAAGGTCAAACTAGACGTTACTTTCTTTTAATTAGGGGTGGAATTAACAAGTACTGCAGAGACAAAAAAAAAAAGTGGCTTCATTTAGCCATTCCCACTTGAACACTAACAACTGCATTTATTAAATTCTGCTAATCCCTCTATTACATACCATATTTACTACTGACTGCGTGACACTGGAACCAGTTTAATTTACCCTCACAAAATGGGAAAACATACCTTATCTTCTAGTACAATCTTGGTACCACCATATTCTGGTAGCAAAACCTTTTCACCAACTTTTACACTCACTGGATGAATCTCACCATCCTGAAAGAAAAAAACAAATCCTTTATTTTACAGAAGTGGAAAGGTAATGTCAGAGTTGCTCCATAGTTCAATGGTACATCCACATAACTTATTCAAGATGTCATGGTAACTCTACATCTCAGTTGTACAGTGAAACAAGAATATTCAGGTTTACCAGGAGGAAAAGCATACCGCTCGGTTTTCAAGCATGACAGTCCCACAACACTTAAGCAGTGATTTTCTGAATGAAAAGCATCGCCATTTAGTTCTAGTATAAATGCAACAGTGAAGTCTTCTCAAAAAGAAAAAATCAGGAATTGCTAGACTGTAAAACTCCTTTCTGAAATACCTGATAAAGTCGATTTCAATATTCTATAAGCATTACTAATTTCTCTAAGTACCAGTTAGTATTACTTGCCCATTTCTGTTACTTTGAATAATTTCTGTGTTACTGACAATTCTGTATCAATTGTCCTAAACACAGTAAAGTTTCAATTACAATTCTATTACTATGAATTCAGTATAACAGCCTTAATCAAATAATAGTACCATTTTGCAATATAAAGCTTTGAAAAGCAGACAGAGACAAAAAAAAAAAAAACACCATGATATCTATGGAGAGACTCACAGGCAAAGTCTGAGTCAATACATTCATGTTAAATTTTAACCTGCTTCCTACCATTGGGACTAACTGACCTCTACTTAGATGGGGGGAAAAGTCTTCAAAATAGTGAAGCCATGGGCATTTTAAGAAGGTGAAATGAAGTTAAAAGGTCTTTTTCAAGATCCTATGAGTATTTAACAATCAAAGATTAAGGCGGCTCAATTAACATGTATTTCTACCAATTCCTGATTTTTTGTCGTACATTAAGCCCTATCCTGATCAATGCTTTTTAAACAAGACAGTGAATGCCATGCTCAGAACAACAAAGAAAACCACGTAACTATTGTTTAAGGATGTTTCTAAATAGCAGGTTTCAAAAAGCAAGTATTTTCCATTTTACAAATGTTCAAAGGAAGACTGAAATTCAAGGCCAGAGCCAGGCAGGGGAACTGAAGATTTCTACCTCCTCTTTGAACCTGCACTTCCAACTTCAGTTGCCCTCTCTCAATTTTTGTGATATATCATTAAACTTACACTGCAGCCATTCCTTTCCTACTACCATTTTCCAGCTGCCAAAGCTGATGCTTCAGGATGCTTACCTTCCCCCTGGCTCCAGATCCAACTGCTACTACTGTTGCTTGCAGCACCTTCCCTTGAGCTTTTTCTGGAATCATGATGCCTCCTTTGGTTACAGTCTCTGCCGCACACCGTTCAACCAGAACACGATCAAACAGGGGAAGGAATTTCCTAAATGCTTTTCCTGCCTGTAAAAGAGCACAATGTTGAGGGAAAAATAGTTGAACAAAAGTGCAACTAAAAAAGAAAACCCACAACTAAGTGGTTGTGAGAGAACAAGAATTTAAGAAAACAGCCGGGCAGTTCTTTTCCATAGAAGCAAAATACACCACCTTTGACTGCATCAGAAATCGGTGGAGACGAAAGCAAAGCTGTGCTACAACTAATCCAAGCTCCTCAGAAGCAGCTCGCCCCCAGGCAGCCTTCACGGGCTCATAGTGGGCAATGTGCGCCCTTGAGGCACAGCTCTCGCTCCAGCCAAGGGAACACAGCACCAGCAGGTGGAGCAGGAGCCCACATGGCTGCAAGCTCTGCGGGCGTTTAATCCTAGACCGTTACTTAATGCTGCTTATTGACAACAGCCTATCGATCATAAAAACTGTACTTTTACAGTGACAGGCTGACTTAATCGGGATTGAGGACAGCTGCATTTTTATTCATTGTAGCAGAGTATTTTATAGTAACGAGGTGTCAGTCTAGGCCTATACCTCATGTCAGCCTTTTTCAGGCAATTTCAAGACGTTGCATTTCACATGATGCAACACAGCTTCTGAAGTTTGAAGTCCAAATGGAGACTGCTGTTACTTGGAATGACTTATACATACCTGCTGTACCTTTATCCACAAACATTTAGGACTGAGCCCACACAAGGAAGTAAGCACATTTCTATACCTTGAGTGCTTTTTCTTCATGCAGATAAATAAGTCACTATCTACCTCTACTCACTGGATTGTTTTAATATATATATTTTTTTACATTTAAAAGCAACTCCTTACCCCCTTACTGGCAGCATTTGTGAAGCAGCACTCCAGCTCCCACAAAGGAGATGAAGGCAAGCACAGAACCCCATCAAGAGGGCAGAAGAAGGAATTTGCTCTGGTTTAGGAGGAAAGATATGGAGGCTTGCCAAATCACGTGGAGGCAGTGTGGTGCAAGGGGTACCCTGGGCTCACAGAAACAGCTAGAAGCAGCCTGGCCTCTGTGCACCCCTCACTGACACCAGCACAGAAGCTTTAAAACTGGGGGAAAAGCAAATGGTGGGCAACGTGTGAGCACAAAACAAGCATGTGAAAGATGCATCCCCAGGAAAACCGTTACTACTAGAATGATGGAAAAGACATGGAAACGACTGTGAACTGTGATGGTGTTCATTCTAAGAAAATACCAGAGCTGATCTCTTTTTCTTTTCCTCCCCTGAAATGGAATGTTCTGTGAAACCAGTAAGCAGTCTTCAGAACGCAGGCACTTCGTGCTTAAGCTTTAGGGAACGCTATCATCTCCTTCAGCCCGGTCTGGTGGTTCGCAGCACTGCACGCAGCAAGGGGGTCGAAACTAGATGATCGTTACGGTCCTTTTCAACCCGGCCATTCTACGGTCCCAAAGGAGATATCGGCGCGGGTACAAGGACAGCTCTGCCCTGATGCAGCGCTCCTCCAGAGAAGGCCTTGATGGAAGCGGCTTACAGAGCCGGGCACAACACGAAGAGCTCCGATTTCCCTCCCGCGCTCCGCAGGCGCACAACGCAGCCCGGGCGGGAGCTGAGCGCCGCGGGCCGCTGCAGGCGGGGCACGGAGCCGAAGCTCTTGCGGGGCCCAACGCAGCCCCCCAAGGACTCGGTGACCTTGCAGCGCTCCGGGCCGCCCCGAACCCCGCTCCCAGCTCCGGGCCGAGCGAACCAAGCGCCCGCGCGGCGCTAAGGCGGGACGCCGACGAGGAGCGCCGCCGCTCCGTCCCTGCCCGCCTCCGCCCCCCCGCGGCCCGACGCAGCCCCACCGGCCGCTATCACCCTCCGGCAGCGCCAGGCAGCACCCGCGCACGGCAGCGCGCTGCCGACGCACCCAACGACCCCCGAGCGGGGCTTACTCGCCCCGCAGATAGGCGGGCCGCAGCAGCAGGCCCGACCCCACGCAGGGATGCAGGGATGCAGGGATGCAAAGATGCAGGGAAGCTGACACGCGGCCGAGCGCGGGCCCGGTTGTGGCGGCACGAGCTGGGGCGCGGCACTCACCATGGCGGCTGCTGCACTCCGCACCGAGTGACCGCGCCGCTGCTCGCACACGTGAGAAAGGTCACCGCGTGCGCATGCGCAGCCGCCGACCCGCGCGCCGCGCCCTGCCCCCCGGCGGCGCTCCGCCCCCAGCCGTGAGCCGCTCGGTCCCCGCCGCTTATTTTTGGTCGTCGCGCCCGCGTCGCGGGTGCGCGGGCCGCCTCGGCGCCGTCGGTGCCGCCGAAACGGCGGCTCGACGCTTGGCCGCGACCGGGGTCGGACGGTCACCCGGAAGTGAAGTCAGCTCACCTCTGACCCGGAGCGAGCATGGGCGTTCCAGAAGGTTCTGGAATCGGCGGGCCCCGGAACCTGAGTGAGTCATGCTTGGCGCGTCCTGCGCACGCGCAGAGCGCGCGGCGCTCCCGCATCCCTTCTCCCTCTACGGGCGATCCGGAGAGGCCATGCAGGTTCCGGGGCCCGGCCGCGCCGCTCCCCGCATGGGTGACTGCCCGGCGGGGGGCGGGGCTGCGCGAGTGAGTGCCGCGCGCTTCCCGCCCCTGCGTGCAGACCTGCGTGCCGCGCGCTCGGACCGGACCGGACGGCGGAGGCGCCTCCCGTAACCCCGCAGGTGAGCCGAGGGCGGCCCTCCGTCCTCGCGGCGACCGTTACGGCGATGAGGGGAGCGCCGCGCGCCGGCCGCGGGGAGGCCGAGCTCCGGCCGTACGGCGCGTTGCGCGCGGGCTCGGCCTCCGCGTTCGGCGCGCGGCCCGGCGTGTGGGGCGAGCTCCGCCGCGGCCTCGCGGCCCCTCGCGGCCCCGGGGCGATGCCGGCGCGGTGCGGGGCGGCTGCAGCGCGGCCGGTGGGCGGCAGGGGGCGAGCGGCTCTGACCTTGCGGCGCGCGTCCTGCCGGGAGCGGACGTGCGGACGGGCGGACATGTGGCCGCTGCGGGACCCTGCGCTCCTTCTGTCCCGTCGGAGCTGAACGTGGCGTTCCGTCTTTCAGACATGCTCCGTTTGCCCGCCGTACTCCGCCACGTCAGGCCGGTGTCCAGAGCGCTCGCCCCGCACCTGACGCGGGCGTACGCCAAGGATGTGAAGTTCGGTGCGGACGCCCGAGCCCTCATGCTGCAGGGAGTGGATCTGCTGGCAGATGCTGTCGCCGTCACCATGGGGCCGAAGGTAACGGCGGGGCGCGCTGGTTCCGTGCTCGTGCTTTGCTCTCTCTTTAAACGCGGTAGCAGGTAACGTTTGTCGGTGTAGCGTCCCGTTACTCGCACGCGTGCGTCTGTGATGGCCGCAGGGAGAGGGCGGGCTGCGGGCAGCCTGTGCTCAGCTATCTGTCGGCCTCCTGCGGGCAGAAGGAGGACGGAGCTGCTCCCTGGGCAGGCCGCCCTGCGTTCCTTTCGGCGGCTGGCAGTAAAGGCGACCGAAGGAACGGCCCAAACAGCGTGAATGGCTCAAGTCACGGTTCCTAACGGCGTGGTAGATCATTAACTCTCCTCACAAAAGGAGCAGTTAAATTAGCACTTATTTATTTCGGGTACAAATTACGGCTTTGTATCCCTTCATCTCCCAGCAGTAGTGAGGTGAAAGCTTTAAGGGCATAATGCTGAGCTTTTAGCTAGCTCCTAAATGCTACAACCTTATGGGAAAATCCGTGGCAGTGGCATCCACTGCTTGTAGGGTGAAATACGGTGTGTGAGCCTCTGCAAGGTTTAGGCCTTTCAGAAAATGAGATGCTGTATTCTGCACAGTCATACAGCGCAAAATGAGACTCATGCTTAAGGAAGAGATACTTTTCTTTTCACATTCATAGCAATGTCTGTTCCAGGTCAGCTACTCAATTTCCCTGGGATTTCAGACATGGTTGTTACTTACTGCTATCTGAATGGTGGGTGAGCTGAAGGCTGCAGTTGTGCAGCTCCTTGTGCTGAGCAGCTAGAAGGAATCACTTTGGTTTTTTGGTAGGAGTGGTGTACTCACATTTGTGTCCTATCTCCCTGCTGAGCTCCTTACATCTCAGAAGGCGGGTGGAACTTTTAATGAATTCACTATTTGGATTTTTGAAAGATTTAATACATCAGCTCCAAGTATAACCTTAAAATGGAAGGATATTTTAACTAATGTGGACTAAAATAAACATAGGAGGTTCAAAACATGCAGAAACACCGTATGTGTGGTTGATCTTTTCAAGGCTGCTTGGCCTCTATGAAATAGTTTATTTTTTTGCACATTTTTGGAGCTTCACTTATTCAAAATGCCATTAACTGAGCATGGTTAAGGTTGAGGAGCAGTGATGTCAGCAATCTTTGGCTGCTTTCCATAAGGACAGTTCTCCAAAAGCCTGAGGCTGCAGTGTAATCAGCTGATTTAACACTTGGTTTGGGCTTAGGCTACATTGTGAATGTCTGAGCATGGTTTAAATGTGCTGGTTAAAGGGCAGATCCTGATGCAACTTACTGCAACCTCATGGAGTTCTTGTTCATTTGCATCATCTGTTCTCCAGGTATTTATAGAGATTGCTCTTTATTACCTGATTCAACCTCTAGCAATTTTAAGAAATATCAAACTCATGAGGAAACTTCCCTTCTGCACTCTTCCTTATTTTAAGAAGCATGATTTCCAGTTTTGCACAATCTTCTGATATTACTGCCAGCATGCCCATTGCTTTGTCACTGTTGTTCTTGATACTCAGGCCCACTCAAAGTGCAGGTGTGTTTCTTTTATTCACAATCAGCATCATTATGTTGAGTGTAAGCTGTTTAATGTGATGAGATATTGCTTTGTTACACTCCCCCTATCTACCAAGCCCATTTGTAATAAGGCCAGGTCACAACAAAGAACAAAACAGAGCAAACCAAAGAGGGGACTGTATGAAGAAGAATTTATCAGTATACCAACAGACAAAATTTTTTTTCTTGGGTCTCTTTGGATTTAATAACAGCTCAGGTTGAATGAAGTAGCGGTAAGAAGTTGTGTTAAATATTAACTTGATGTAATTGTTCTACCGCACAGAATGAACAATGTACAGGCTCTCTCACATGCTCAGAGCTGGTAACTGCAGCTTTACGTTTCTTTTCTGCAGTTTCCATGGTTGGTTGTACTTCAGGAACCACGTAGCCTCTTGCACGGCAGCAGTCCATAGTTTAAATCGTTGAGGCAGACGTGAGTGGGCACTGCACAGGCTGGGAACGCAGTGCACCACAGTGGCAGCATGCTGTATCCGAGTCCTTGGATAGCTGGGCTTGCAAGCCAGGTTCTGCTCGGATATGAAGCCATGCTGGCACGCAGTCAGCTACAGCAGTGTGAGCAGGAGCAGTGTGCTCAGCGCTCAGCTGGGCCAGCTGAGGGGACTTGTGCAGGACTGGCTGGCAGTAACAGCAGTGAGGTGGATGTTTGGTCTTCCTTCCCTGCCTCCAACTGTTCCAGCTGTCACCATAGCTGAAGAGATTCAGTGCAGCAGTGCTAGAGAGGTGGTTGCTTGCATTTCTGCTGTCTCCAGCTGAAATTCTGGAGCGTGATTGACTGGGGCAGCTATTCTAGCTGTTCAAGCTGGGAACCTCTGTGAGAGGGTGCATCTGCCCTGTGTTCTGTGTATGGTCCGTAATTTTCCATATCAACTTTGTATTTTAATTAGGATAGTCCAGCTTTCTAGTTACAACAGTTTTTGAGAAATTAGTGCAGCATGTGAACGCAATTACAGTGAGTGTTTTCTGTTTCACATGCTCATCATTAATGAGATTTATAACTTTTCTCTTTTCACAGTGTGTAAAGAATCGAGCTTCCTGTTCTGTTTTTCAATCATACGCTTTTTATTGTGATTTGAAGGAAATTTTACCAAGTTTTAACCTGTAAGGTGACATTTTACAAAGGATTTTCAATTGCAGTGGAACTATCACAGTGATGTGCTGTGGGTTGCCTGGCTTTTATTTAATGTTTATTGTTTGTAACCCTAGGGAAGAACAGTTATTATTGAACAAAGCTGGGGGAGTCCCAAAGTGACAAAGGATGGTGTGACAGTGGCAAAGGCAATCGACTTAAAAGACAAATACAAAAATATTGGAGCCAAGTTAGTTCAAGATGTTGCCAATAATACAAATGAAGAGGCAGGAGATGGTACTACTACTGCAACGGTACTTGCACGTGCTATTGCCAAAGAAGGCTTTGAGAAGATCAGCAAAGGAGCTAATCCAGTGGAAATCAGAAGGGGTAATTTTTCTTTGTTGTTCCATGTTTTTAATGTTTAATTGCTAGCTTTTTGCTTTTCATATGCTAAATTTGGCTGACTTTCCAAATAAGTTACCCTTTGTTGAAGAACCAGATAAAACTTGAGGAGTGATACATTCAGAATCTACTTGCTACTGGTGTGGGATACTGAGTGAATCTTTTCTCTAAACACGTTATTGCCTACAAAACAGAAAAACAGTTAATATGATACAGGCAAACTCTTAAAATCCATTTTAATTCTTATCTGGTTAGCATAGAAATTTGCTGGTTTCACATGAATTACTTTTGATTGTGGCTGAATGTATGTCATGCTAACTCAAAAACCAAGATTACTAGATATGAAGATGACATTGGAGAGCTAGAACAGCCAGTCGCCTGTTTCTGAACCTGCAAACTTGATGCATTTTTGTAATGTGGGCTTCTTGGGTTTCAAACTTCTTTGTTGTCTTTTTTTTTTCTGTGCTGTATACTTTGTTTTGTTCCCTCACAAGTGTTTTGTTTGTCTTTAGGGGTGATGCTTGCAGTTGATGCTGTTATAGCTGAACTGAAGAAGCTGTCTAAACCAGTTACAACTCCAGAAGAAATTGCACAGGTAAAAACAAAAAAAAAAACACCATATAATGTTACTTCAGAAAGATCAGTGAAGTCAGGTTTGATTGGTGGTAGGTTGTGGATACAGAACAACTGAGTGTTTGCTTATATGTGTTAAGGTTTGGAATACATTTCATTGAATGATCTCCATGGTAACACATTCATGAGTTATTTGAAATGCCCAGTATTTTGTCTTCACTTAGATGTTGGTTCAGAAGTAGGCAGTTTTTTCATCGATTGTTTTCAAAAAGTGGTCATAAAATGTAAATGTGATTGGGAAGAATTGAAGAAAGCAAAAATGTATTGGTGAGTTTGGTAATGGCTGACTTGCAGAAGTGTTTGTTACAGATCAGCTGTGGGAGGTTCAGGTTGAGGCAGGTGCTTTGCTGGGTGTACTTTGCAGGTGTGTTGGGCTTTATGGCTCATTTCCTCTGGTGGCTACAGATTCAGATGTGTGTGCTGCATGAACCCAGTGTGTGGA